GCCAGGGGGTATTATTCTACCTATTGCAGCCACCATGAAATGCCACCCCCCACCTCCACTGTCACCAGGCTAAAATAAGCATGGGTATTCTTTATGGGGCTTTCCAGGTGGCGCTACTGGTAAGGAATCCGCTTGTCAATGCAGGAGACAGAAGAAACACGAATTCGATCCCCAGGTCGGGAAGATCCCCTGGAGGCGGGCATGGCAGCCCACTCCAGTGTTCTTGCCTGGAGAATCCCCAGGGACAGAGGAGCCAGGAGGACCACAGCCCATGCGGTCGCAAAGAGTCGGACAGGACTGGAGTGACTTAGCACACACACGCGCGTTCTTTATATCAAGGAAGTGCCAAGCTGTCTCTGCTGTATGCTCTGGGAGGAACGTAATCCGATCCTGCTATCGCTCTGCTTCTGCAGCAAGGTGAGGTGTGGAGTCTGTTCAGAGGAACGTAAGCTGACGAGAGCCAAGGGGGAAGCCAGCGGCCCTCATGCGAGAGCCCGCACTAGTGCCTTCCTGCCGCAGGACCTGCCCTGGCCGTCCACCGCCCGGCGTCCCCCAGTGAGACCGCTGCTCTGGGAGCAGCACGGGCCGCCTGCCTCTCCCACTGCGTGCCTCTCCTCCCCTCGGGCTCTTGCACCAGCGCCCGACCCGTGGTTTCAGGAAGACACTTGGTCCGACTCAGTCTTGCGCCTTTGTTTCCCCCGGTGGGTTCCGTCCACCACGCCTCACTATCTCGGATGCAGTGATGGCACCAGACCTTCAACCCTTTCTCCCTGGATCTCCACGCTGAACCTCCCGTGTCGTTCAGGCTCTGGTGTTACAGGCCCTCAGACTAAAACAATGGGAGCTTTTCTTTACTCCTCACTCAAGGATTTGTTCTAGCTTTCGCATTGTCTCAGCTGGTAATGTCGCCGTCCTACCTCAGGATCCCAAACACAGAAAACTTGTTGTCAACCCAGGCTCCTCCGTCTCAAAAACAGATGCTTCTAGTAACGCTCTGAAATCTGCCCGTCCTATATGAGAAGTGTCTTTCAAATGCAACCTCCTCTTTCCTTGAAAAGACTCCTGACATGGGAAATGGACACCTACGGAAGAAAGCCCTCCTTGCTTCCCAGGGGATGGTCAAGTATATGGCCAGTCCAGAGGTCAGGGAAGGACTCCTCACAGTCGCTCTAAGGCAGTTACCCACCATGATTCTGAAGTTCCACAGAACGAAAATGTCCAAGATACACCAACAGGAGAACACGCCTTTATAACTTGCTTAAAAAACAAGAATATTTCATTAATTAAGACCAACTTTGACATTTTCTGTACACACCTCACACAAACTGACAAGAGCTCTTTCATCAAACAATGGATCTTATTGCATTCATGTCCACGTCTTGAATAATCTGAAAAATGCTAATTCCATTCTGAAGTCTTGTAAGAATTTGTCCTCGGAATTTTAATGTGAACTAACATAATTTGGAGATGCTACTTTGAAGAAATGTCCACATTAATTCCCAAGAGTTCCAGAAGTTGTGATTATTTGCTAATGAGATAAATTAGTCCAGATTATCCTGATGATATTTTTTCAGTGACTAAAACATCTCCAACTATGCATTTCATTTTTTTTTACTTTCTTCAACTTGTTTTGAGATTTATCAGCAACTCTTTTCTATAAAATATTGCAAAACTGAAGTGGTTTCTGATGCGTTTCATTATTTTTTTAATTAGGGCTTTCAAAAAAATTCAATAAAGGGATACCTTGTATTTTTAATTGCACTTTTCCACTATGGAACATTAAAAATTGTCTTTAATTATAAAAGTAAAGCGTTCATATCTTTTAAAAGTGCGTCTGTTTGTCTCTCGTTTCTTGGTGCTTTCTATCACCCTGCAAACACACATTCAGCCACTGGTTTCCGTCGCTCTCGCTGCTGCTGTCTCTCTGGCACTTGTCGTGTCTGACTCTTTGCCACCACGGTCTGTAGCCTTCCAGCCTCCTCTGCCCAGAACTGTTGCTTTCGGCAATGCCAGGTGGATAATCGCTTTATGTTGAACGAGGTTTATACTGTGATATAACAATTACTTGTAATTTATAACCTTTGATACATCATTTACACTTTACCTACAAGTGACAGGTAACTAATCAGAAACTGGGAAGAATGATGCTGAGTGCAGAGAAGAAGCCAGCTCCAAGAACAGGGCCTGGCCACAGCCCCCAGGGACTAGACAATGTTGCCGGTCCCCAGGCGGGAGCTCACGCCTGGATTATACGCTCTCCGACTGCCCAGAGAGGGGCAGGCCGTCACTGCGCATCCAGCCTCGCAGGGACTCGGGCGTCACAGGTCCTTTATTCTCACATTGGCCGAGTTTAGGAACGCAGTTCAGGTGCCATGAAGCCGAAGCTGAAGCCTAGCTCCCTGCTACACAGTCAGGATCCAAGTGAGAACTCTGGGTGTTTCCAGGGCAACTAACTCATCTCCATGTTTCTTTTTTTTTCCAATTAAAATGGAGACACAATGGTAACTAATTTGCCTGCCATCTATGCCCTATACCACCCTGAACTCACCTGATCTCATCTGATCTCGGAAGAATTCCCTTCTAATGCAGGAGACAGAAGAGACGCAGGTTTGATCCCTGAGTCAGGAAGATCCCCTGGAGAAGGAAATGGCAATCCACTCCAGTATTCTTGCCCGGAGAATCCCATGGACAGAGGAGCCTGGCAGGCTACAGTCCATGAGGTCACAAAAGAGTCAGACACGACTAAGCAGAGACACAAAATGAGTAAATATATCTTTTCTGATGGGAGAGTTTAAAAGGACTAAAACCATCATTGCCTTGCCCCTAAGAGCAGTGGAATATCGCTGCCCTAACACCCTCAGTCATGGGTGACGGACACAGAACAGAAGCTTCACCCTTGCTGCCTACAATCCAGCTCACAGGCACTAGCGGTCCTTGTAGGCATGTGCCTTAGCCCCGTGGCTTGTCATTTTTGACCAAAGCAGAGAGGAGTGCTTTGGGGTCTGGTTTTTATAGATTCCTCCTTCTAGAGAAGTTTTTCTTCCCTGAGTCGTCGGGGGAGGTCAGAAAGTAGGGGAACTGGGTCTCCCTTGTGGAGGCAGCTGTCCTTGTGGGTGCTTTGCAGACCCAACATGCTGACTGCTAACAGGTGGCCCTGATGTCTTGTCAGTGTGGGTGCCCCATCCCAGGGAGCTTTGGTCTCCAGGCACCCACGTAAGAAGACTGGGACGTCCCCCTGCACACAGCTCCTATGTGTCAAGAGGAGCTGATCATGTTTCATGATAGAGCTTTGATCATTGAAGACCTTCATATCTCTCTGTCATCTATCATCTGTCTATCTATCTGTAAATATCTATCTGTCCATCCATCCCTCTATTTATATCATCCATCTGTCTGTTTATCTATGTCTATCATCTATTTATCTACCTATCCCATCTGTCTATCCATCTATGTTGTTTTCAGTCGCTCAGTCATGTCCAACTCTGCGACCCCATGAACTGCAGCACACCAGGCTTCCCTGTCTTTCACCATCTCCCAGAGTTTGCTCAAACTCATGTCCATTGAGTCAGTGATGCCATCCAACAATCTCATCCTCTGTCGTCCCCTTCTCCTCCTGCCTTCAATCTTTCCTAGCATCAGGGTCTTTTCCAATGAATCAGTTCTTTGCATCAGGTGGCCAAAGTATTGGAGCTTCAGCTTCAGCATCAGTCTTTCCAAGGAATATCAGGACTGATTTCCTTTAGGATAGACTGGTTTGATCTCCTTATAGTCCAAGGGACTCTCAAGAGTCTTCAGCATGACAATTTGAAAGCATCAATTCTATCTATTCGTCTACTTAATTTTTCACATCCCTTCATTCATGCCACATTTTGAAAATCTACTTCTCTTGTATCTATCAGCTGAATACCACTGTCAGCCAGTGAGGAACCCCAGTGTGGCAACCATGATTAACATGGACTTGTAACGACCCTAAAAAAATTATCTTATCTGGTGAAATTAATTTTGCTTTATCCTGGAATCTCCAGATCAGCCCAACTCTAGGCAGTTCCACAGAAGAACCCTGAAGATGACTAAGGGTTTCTGAGCAGAAATTAGGCAATGAGATTAGACTATTTAGTTTGGAAATAAAGGTTATGAGGCTGCTACGTATCTTTGAACATGATGCAACCTCATATCTCGGTTTCCGTGGAAGACAGACAGACGGAGGAAATGAGCTTGTGCGCTGGTCTGCTGAGGAGCAGGGTAATAACCATCCAGAGCGGAGGTCAGGAAGAAACAGCAGAGCCCAGAGAAAGTTCTGGGCTCCCCCTGCCTCATTTTTCGGTTTTTATTTCTTTTCACTGGCTAGTTCTAAAATTATTAAATTTGTCCGAGCTCACTTTGTATATTTTCCAGGCACAAACTAACGTGTTTGTGTGTACACGCTACCGCCAATGGCAGACACAGCAGGGCTGAGTCCTGTAGATGGCTGGGCAGGAGGCTGGCCCTCCACCACTGTCTCCGGTGGATTCACAGACCCGCGTCTGCAGAGCCGTCGCATCACGAGAAGTCTCAGGCGTTCACCGTGTGTGCATCCTCCCGGAGCTCACCAGAGCGCCGCCAGCCCACCCGCCAGTGTTTCCATCTGGCCCAGAACGTGTGCCTGCATCATGGCACACGTGCACGAGCGTGTCCACCCTCTGCGGCAACGGAGAGGGCTGGGATGGGGAGGGAGGCGGGAGGGAGGCCCAGGAGGGAGGGGGCGTGTGTGTTCCAATGGGCAATTCATGCTGCTTCGAGGCAAAGGCCATCTCAATGTGGGAAAGGAATTATACTTTAATCAAAAATAAAAATAAAGGCATAAAAGAAAGTCCGTTCCTAGGAAGGGAGTCACTGGATAAAAGACGATTTTACTTTTAATCCCTTTTGTTTTGAACACACAGTCACGTCTCCAGGTTGCTATTTAAGTAAACCGGGGGTGTTCACACTTGACTGTTCATCTCCACCAGGTGAAGCGCTCGTCACACATGGATGTCGGCTCTCAGCTCCTCGGAGTTGCTGGGCTGGACGGTCTGGGCTGGGGCCCTGGGGTCTGAGTCTGTAACAAGCTCCCCAGGGCTGCTCTTGCTGCTGCTCTGGGGCCTGAACTCTGCAAACCACTGAATTAAGCCATTTGCTTGCTTCCGAGAGAACAGAGTTGGTGTCCTCTCCACTCTGAATGTGCTGGGTGGGACCATAACTTGCCTCTCCAACATCCCTGCCTGTCCCTGCCAAGGTGAGTGGGCAGACAGGCCCCTCGGGAAGAGCGGGCCAGCCCACCGCCCACTGCAGTCCACCCGGAGCTCTTGCATCCTAAGACGGCCCCCACAGCTGTCCCTGCTCAGAGGGTGCCCTCAATGCCACACGGCTCCCTGGGCACTTAGCACATCTTAGGGCATGTTCACGCCCATCTTTTTCATGATGTCCAAGATGGAACACACCAACCTCTGTCACCAGAAGTCTTCCCTCCTGTGCACTTGGTTTCCGTTAGGATCACCTTGCCCCACAAGACGGCTGGAAGACTCCACACGGTGCCCTGTCTCAGGGCTGGCCGAGCTTGTGGCCACAATGAGATTAGACTCCACAGCATGCACTGTTTGCACCTCTTAGATGCTGCGTGTTTAACTCCAGGACGGGAGCCGAGGGATGATGTGAGTCCTGTTTGTGAGTCCCGGGATCCAACGGGGTCCACTTCGCCCAGTGACGAGGCTCCATCCTGGGGACCGCAGGGCGTCTCCAAGAGGCCGCCCTGACTCTGAGGACCGTCTCTAAATCACGGGGCTCAGAGAGGCTGGGCTGGATTGCTGACCACACTTTTGGAGGATGAAATGCTGGGTGCCCTGAGGTAAGGGGCTGCCGTGGGACCTGGGTCTTGGGTCAGCTTCTGGAGATGGGCAGCTGGCCCCTGGGGAAGCCCAGCGGCCACCCTCCCGCCACAGCCCTCAGGGTCCTTAACCCCTCCTGGAGTAATGCCAGGCCTCCGAGGGTCTCTGAGAGATTGCAGCTGAGCTGGAACCCCCTCCCAACACAACCGTGTGGCTGTGAGTAGTTCCACACGGGAATGTGTGGGGGTCGCAGGCACGTGGATCCCAGCAGCCAGTGTGTTTGTGTGTGTGTGCGCGCGCTGTGTATGTTTGGGAGGCTGCGCGTGCATGTGCGCACGTGCGCGTGTGTGGGCGTGCATGTGTGCGCGTGCGCTGGATGGCCGGGGCCCGGGCAGCAGGCCTGAGCGCCCCGGCGAGCAGGGCCCGGCGGGGCCTCTGCAGAGCCGCCCTCCTGGGACAGGGCGTGTTTGCGGGGAGCGGGGGCTGCTTGACGCGGGCTGTGCTGCCCCCTCGTGCCCGTCTGGCAGAATAACGGCCTCCCGGGAGCATCTCGGTCGGACCCGGCGAACTGGCGGCTGGCTCTGGTCCGGGACTCCACAGGAAGAACACACTGCGGCAGGCGGGGGTCAGTGGGAGCTGACAGCCTTGGTGCACCCTAGCCCCTCTGTGAGCGAGTCCCTGGTGGATCCCGGGGGTCAGGAGGGCCCTGCTGGGTCCAGCATCGGAGGGCAAGGCCCACGTTCCTGCCGCCTTCCCTGTGGGCGTCCCCGCTGACCCTCCCTGGAGACCAGGTCCCTACAGAAACATCCCTCATCATCAAGAATTGAGCACCTTCTCTGAATGCCTGAAACTTCCTTGTGTTGTTTTGGCTGGAGCTGCCGTGTGACTTCCTCACGCCCCACAGATACACACGGAAATTACTGGAACCTTTTATGGGAATGAGGAGACTCACCAAGTGCCTTCCCCCAGGCCTGGGTGCCCTCGGGTCCCGGGGCTCTGCTTGCCCGGGAGACAAGTTCCCCAACCTCAGGCGTCACTAGTCCACTTTCTGCTTTGCTTCAATTCCAAGAAAATTGCACTGCATTATTTTTAAATATAATGAGTTCTGAAAGCATACTTTTCCCCGCATCCTCAGAGAGTGCTTACAACATCATTTGATGGCTTATTACTATTATTCTCTGTTTAAAACAGTTTGTTCAAGATTTTTTTTTTCTTATCTGCTACAGGACAGGTTTTAGGAAGTCATTAATGGTGTTCAGGGTTATACCTCCAGATGCTGTGACCTGAACACATAGCAAGACTTGGTACTTCCCTGTCAATCCAGGGGTTAAGACTCCGCATGCTTCCAACATAGGGGCATGGGTTTGATTTCTGGTCAGGGAACTCAGATTCCATATTTCTCAGGGCAGAAATAAATAAATAGAAGATCATCATAAGGGGAACACATGTAAATCCATGACTGATTCATGTTAATGTATGGCAAAAACCACTACAATATTGTAAAGTAATTAGCCTCCAACTAATAAAAATAAATGGGGAAAAAAGATCATCACAGATCACTTAAATATATATGTCCTCATGCTCCACAAATATATATATATGCATATTTATTTAGCAGTACTGTGCACAGATATGGGCTTCCCAGGTTGCTCAGTAGTAAAGAATCTGCCTGCCAATGCAGGGGACATAGGTTCAATCCCTGGGTCAAGAAGATGCCTTGGAGAAGGGAATGGCAACCCACTTCTGGAGAATCCCACGGACAGAGGAGCCTGGCGGGCTACAGTCCACAGGGTTGCACATAGACAGACAGGACTGAGCGACTAACACTTTAGCTTTAAAACGAGTGTGATGCATCCATGTAGCCGAGTGTGCAGCTTAAGGAAGACGGGAGAGGTTCTCTGTGTAGGAACGCTTGCAGACCACCGCCCTGGAGTCAACGGTAATAAACTGGTTAATGAAAGAAGCCACGTTCAGAAGTGTGCACACCGTGACGGCGCTCCTCTTAAAAAAGGGAAAAATTAAAATCTAGTTTTTATTTTCTCTGTGTTTTCAGAAACACTGGAAGTGTGTGAGCGAGTAGTGATAGAGTTTTCCTGGGGTGGTGGGAGGGGGCGCTAGGAGGAGGGGAGAGGTTTCTCAGAGCTTCTCCTTTCATATATTTTTAAACCAGGCGAATATGGTACTCAAAACTGTATTAAATGGTTTTCTTTAAAATACAAGTTTAACACATTTGTCTGGACTTCAGCTGGAGAGTTCCAGGTGTGGTGTGGACCCCCCTGAACTGTGTGACCTCTGTAAAGATGGAGTGCTCTGTAGCTAAGCGGGGTTCGCACCTGCTCCTTCCCTGGTGGTCACGTGAGTAAGCACCACGTCCAAGGCATGCGGGTGCTGTCCCAGGCCAGGGCTGGGCAGTCTGTGTTACGTCAGTTCCCCTGAGGCTAAATCAGATTAAATTAGATGCCCATTTCACAGGGGAGCATACTGAGGCCTGGGAGAGGTGCCCCAAGCTCACCCTGAGTAAAGACAGAGCTGGTGTTCAGACCCAACTCCACGTCACTCCAAGGTCTGGTCTTCAGGCTGCCCCCTCCCCCACCCCCGGGCAATCCCCAGGGAGGGCAGCCTCGGGGAGAAGTGGGGGAGGGGGGTCTAGACCCGGGCAGCCCCCCAGCACGCCCTAGATGGCGTTCCAGGTCATCTTTGTGAAAAGCAGCAAGAGCTGCATCCCAGAACAGCCATCGCTTCGCGGCGTGCAGCCGCCAGACTGGGCTCCGTGGAAACTGCTGGGTGTCCCCAAGCATTTGGGGTGGACCACAGTCTGCCGGGCAGGGTAGCGCGTTCAGTAACCCACGTGGGAAAGGGCCAGGGCTGCCAGCACCGAACAACCCCGACGGGGGCTGCAAAGCAAGAACTCGATTCTTCTGGGGTCCAGGAGTCTCAAATCAGGGTGTCAGTGGGGCGGCTCTGGGCGGGAGCCGTCTGACCGCTTCCAGCCTCCTGTGGTCGTGGTGTCCCCACTTCTAGACCCGTCTCCCCCCCCCACCTCTGGCCCCGTGGCGCTCTCCCTGTGGGACTCCATGCTCACGTGGCGTTTCTCCTTTTCTCCTAAGGATCCTGGTCATATTCGACGGGAGCCGAGCAACTCCCGCAGGACCTCATCTTATCTCACTATACCTGTGACAACCCTATTCCAAATAAGGTCACAGTCACAGGTAACCAGGGCGTGAACACACCTTTTGGGGGAACACTACTCAAGCCGTAAGAACAGAACATCATCGGAGGGCTGGAAGTTCTGTGCAGCTGCTTTAGACAAGGGTCTGTGCAACAGAGTCATTAAATCACTGCTTTACTAACCTAAGTTTCAAGAACATGTGAATGCGGTGAGGCCTTGGACAAGAAGCCTTTCATCATGCCCTTCGCAGGCAAGGATTCAAATGTTGCCCACAGAAGTTGAAAACAAATTGAAAACAGGTTTGAATCCAGTGAGCAGGATAAAGCAGAAACTCAGGGAACAGCCGGTCAGGAGAGAGCCCCGGGCCCCCGCCGGGGTGGGAAGAGGTCACGCGTCCCCCCAGGCTGCCGAGACTCCCGGGAGACTGCGTTTTCCGAGAAACTGAAGGCCAGGGGTGACCTGGGCTGGTCACAGGACTCTGCAGGGAGGCTGGCCTTGGACGCCCACCCTGGCGCAGCCCACGGTCACACGGTTGGGTCTGTGAGGGGAAAAAAGGCTTCAGTAGAAACTGCAAGAACTTTTCTGGGAAAGAGTCTGTAAATGCAGGCGACAGAGAGCCCGGTGTTGGACGCCTTCTTGGGAGCCTTTGGCTGGCGGAGGCCCCAGGACTCCGGCTGGTTCTGGCAGGAGGTGGGAAGGCCTTTCTTGGAGATAGCTGACGTTGCTTGCTAGTTAGAATCTCAGACAAAAGGCTGCTGGGTTTTTTGGTGTTTTTTTTTTTTTAATGTAATACACTATTATTTTTTTAATGTGGACCTTTTTTTTTTTTTTTTTAAGTCACTGAATTTGTTACAATATTGCTTCTGTTTCATGTTTTTGGTGTTTCGGCCACAAAGAATGTGGGCTATGAGCTCATGACCAGAGATCAAACCCATGCCTGCACTGAAGTGCAAAGTCTTAACCACTGGGCCACCAAGAGAAGTCTTAACCGCTGGACCACCAGGCAAAGTCTTAACCGCTAGGTCACCAGGGAAGCCCCCAAGGTCTGCTGTTAAAGGCTGACGGTGCCTCTTCAGCTTGACCAGCTCCAACTTGACAAGAAGTTGCTGGTGGGCCCCAGGCATGCCCAGCTGAGCCAGGGGACCCCGCCATCCCGTCTGCACCCCCTCCCCGGGCAGATGGTCTCACAAGGGCAGCACACGGGAGCAGGGCAGCCAGGAGGGACGCCGAAGCAGAGAAAGAAGGAAAGGGTTCTCCCGGCGCCCACAGTGGAAGCTGGGAGCTCTCTGCTGTGGGCAGAACTTGTATCAAAGACGAGGTTCGTTGCTGGTGTCGTCAGGCTAAGCCTCACCCGGGCCTTCGTGAACCATTCCCGACTGTCTGCCCAAGACAGCGCTTTCCTTCATGAGTTCCCAGAAACAGACTCACTGAAACCGTCTCGAAACACAAGTCCTCTGCCAGCTTTCTTTCCGTGGTGTCTGCAGTTCAAACCCTGTGCGTGCTCCCCAGGCCTCAGAGTCAGGCTTGAAAGGATGGAAACCCACGTGCACACAGGCGGTATATGTTTGCTCAGAGAGGTGGCCGCGGCGTGGGGCCCTTCCAGGGGGTGACACCCACTCCAGGGCCTCAAGGAGAGCCTGCAGCAGACAGAAGTCGCTCGGGGTCCATCTCCGGGAACCTGGGAAGGCATCCTGCTCCCTGCCTTTCCACGGAGCAGGTTCCGCCTCTGGGAATCCAGGAAAACGCCTGCGGTTGCCACTGCGGAGGCTGAGTGTGTGAACGGGAGTCTGACCCGGCCTCGCCCACCGGCTCCCGGGATCAGCGCGGGCCCCCTGCCTGGTCCAGGAGCCGAGCTCATCCGCTTACAGCTTTCACAATAGCCGGGCCAGTGCTCCAAACGATGCTGTCAATTTGCTTTTAAGACCCCACTTCAAAGTGGGAGATCCAATGGGATGACTGAAAGGCAGAGCAATGCGGGGAGAGATGACTAATATTAATAAGGCACCCACCACCCTCAGGACACCACAGCGATGCTCCCAGGGGCCCTTTCTGAAAGAAAGGCTCGAGAAGATGCAAGGTGTTTGTGTGTGTGTTGCTGTTGTTGTTATTTTCAGCAGCTTGAAGGAGAAAACGCTGCCCTGGATTTCTCGCCTTCTCTGGGGAGCACTTGAACTTGAAGCCAGCACCCAAGTTCTGCACCAGGCCCCCCATCCTAACACCCCTCCCTGGAGAGCTGAACCTACATTTTGCCGTCCTGACCTCCTCCGTACAGAACAGGCTCGCCAAGGACTCGTTTCTGTGCACAAAGATTCTGTCTGTCAGTCCATGCTGCGGAAGAAAAGGATTCTAAAAATCTCAGCGGTTTCTATGAACTGCTTCTCACACTCACAGGCCCAGGGGGGGCCTGAGAGTTTCTGCTCTGTCGTGGGTCAGCCGGCTGGATTCAGTCTGCTCCAGGTGGTCAGCACCCCTGACGGGCGGCTCCCTGAGTCACCTGTCCTCCTGGCGAAGGTCAGGAGGGCAGGGAGCAGGGCAGCTGGGGCCCCCTGAGTCCTCCATGCAGAGCGGGACCAATCCCCCCACCAGGAGGCGCACCCACTGAAGTGGAGGTCCTGCATGGTCCCCGTGAAGCGTCCAGTCCGGGGAGGAAGGGAGTTCTCGGGGGCAGGGATGGACTCAGCCTCATGACAGAGGAAACATGGGGGAGGGCCCCCGGTAACTACAGGGACTTGACCTCCTGAAGGGACGTCCCAGGTGCGACTAGCAATAAGGAATCTGCCTGCGATGCAGGAGCCCCGGGATCGATCTCTGGGTCGGGAAGATCCCCCGGAGGAGGGCATGGCAGCCCACTCCAGGATTCTTGCCTGGAGAATCCCCGTGGACAGAGGAGCCTGGCGGGCCACAGTCCATGGGGTCACAGAGAGTCGGACACCACTGAAGTGACTGAGCATGCGCGCGTTTTCCTGTTAGGGTTGCAGGGTTGATCTTTAACACCGTGTCAGGTAAGGATGTTACAGCAGGTAAGGAAAAAGACCACCAGCTGTTTCTGTGCCCACATTCATGCCCTCTGCTGCGTAGGCTTGCAACCCCTGCGGGGGCCTTTTGTTGTGGACTTGAATCTGTGACTTCCTCCGGGCTGTCTCACCAGGGACTGTCCAGCTGCTATTACAGAAGACTGCCACGCCTGCACCGTGGGGCGTGGCTGTGAGCGGCAGGGCGCCCTCTGCCACCTGCCCGGGAGCCTCTCTCCACCTTGTGAAAATCCATGCAGACGTGCTCAGCCGTGCCCAAGTCTTTGTGACCCCACGGACTAACCTCTGGCTCCTGCATCCACGGGGATTCTCCAGGCGAGAATGCTGGTTGGGTGGCCATCTCCTCCTCCAGGGGATCTTCCCGACCCAGGGATCGAACCCATCTCTCCGCCTCTCCGGCACTGCGGAAACGCCTCACAATTCTTTATTTGTGAGAGAGCTGGTTGGTAAATACATACCATCTGCCTGAATTGGCTAGCAAGGCCTGCTTCAAAACATTCTGCAGAATTTTCCCATTTGCATCAGAGAAATAAATCACCGTGGGAAACACGTCTGCTCCAAGCTAACAGGGACCATCCAGGACAGGGGTGATAAAATACAGAACTGAACTTCAGAAGTCACCGACTCCGCTGAAAGCTGCAAGTCTAAAAAAGGCCTTTCCTGATCTCGGCCGAGTGACTCAGTTTCACTGTGACTCAGCTCGGCTCGCGGCCCCCCGGGGAGGGGGCGGGGGGTGGGCAGCAGCAGATGTGCTGCCGTGGGGTGCAGAGCCCCCAGAGGAGGCGCAGCTATTTCTGGCGGGTAAATGAGGACAGGGCGCGCGTGCGGGCGTGAGCTCAGGAAGTACAGCCTGGGCGTTAATGAGAGGAAACACCCCCCACGCGGAGGCTGCCAGTGATTCAGAGCCCAGGAACGGCCCCTTCCCTGCCGTGCCTGCGGCCTGGCGGGCCCACAGGTGACCCAGACCCAGAGGAGGCCCCCCCGCCGCCGGCAGGAGCTGGTCGCCCCGCAGGGAGGCAGGTCTCCCCCGCTCCCCGCCAGCTCCAAAGTGGGCTAGGAAATGGTTTCCCTGGCCCAAGGCTGCCTTTTGAACTCGCGGAACAAATGCTAAGCTTTAAGCAAGCCCTACATTCAAGGTTGCTACGGTCGGGTCCCACCCTTTGTGACCCCATGGACCATTGCCCGCCTGACCCCTCTGCCCATGGGGTTCTCCAGGCAAGAACACTGGAGTGGGCTGCCACGCCCTCCTGCAGGGGCTCTTCCCGATCAAGGGATGGAACCCCCATCTTTCATGTCTCCTGCATGGGTCTGCAGGTTCTTTACCACCAGCGCCACCTGGGAAGCCTCCAGTTACAAGCGAACGTGAGATGCCCTGAGTACCAAGGAGACTTCGGCCTTGAGACGGGTGGCCCAGAGGCTTTGGGTCAGGGCGGGCCGCCTGAGTGGCCGCCCCGCTCCGTCCCGTCCTGCCAGGCCAAGTGTGGAGGGGCAAAGACACCCTGGAGGGCGAGGCACCATGGCGACCCCAGAGGAAACCAGGTAATCTGGACTCAGCATCACTTCACACCTATTCTGACAAACACGGAGGCTCTACTGGACCAGTGGGCTGTGTCTGCATCTCAGAGCCAGGAGATGCCTGCGCAGCCCGCAGGAAGAGAACGCTCTCTCAAGACAGGAAAACTCATTTTCAGAAAAAACAGGCTGGTGAAACATTTCTCTCCATGTCCTAAAGGGAAGAGTCTCAGATCTCTGGCATGAAGGATGATGGCATGGTGGATGGTGGGGTGTGGTTTGGAAGCAGAAGAGTGGATTACAGAGCTTGACGATCATTGCAAACCGGGTGTCCTGCAGCCCCTAATGATCCAGTATTTCCTGTGTGTACATCTTACCTTGTCAGGAGATGTGGGTTATACCACAGCCCCTCCCAGGGGTTCAGGAGAGCATCTGAAGAAACAAGAGCAGGTTTCACAAACGCTTGAGGATCACCTTCTCAGGGTGCGTCATTGCCTCCTAATGAACCAACAAGGAGACTGAGGAATCAGACAGATACAGCTAAGACGGTGGAAAGGAGAAAGCGCTACTTACGGCACTGCCTGAAAACACCTTAAGTCTGGAAGGTCGACGAGGATGAGAAGACTGGAGCCTGACTGTCACACAATCCCATGTACTCAAAAGGGACCCCAGGAACACCTTTTAATACCACAGAGCAATCACCTCAGATCTAATCAAACTAAACGCTTTGTCTGCATCGTGTGAATTGAGCTCAGGGAAAGTCCTCATGCAAGTCAAAAGGAGGCCAGAGAGATATATCCTCAGGATGACCTAGAACAAGGAGTGACAGGAAGATGTGGAGAGTGAGGAAAGGACCCTCGCACTCCTCCCAGGAGGGTCTGTGCGCTGACAGCGCCCCCGCCTCGCCTGCAGCCTGGATGGGAGATGAACGTGGACCCACAGCTCAGACTGCACGCTTCTCACTTCATCTCATCCCTCACGGAAACATCTTCAAGGCAACTCTCAGGATCCTCAATTGTAACCCAACCCTCAACGCGACTCCCACCTATTGTAAGACTATAGTTTCCAGATCTATAACCTCAATTCACACACTTGACAAGTGACAGGTTCCTTCCACAGTGAAGTTTTTTTTTAACAGAAAATTTCTTAAGGGCTTCATATTATTCACTTTCATTTATCCTGTACCTAACCTGGGATCTGGTAAACAGCAGGCACACAGTATATGAATGAGGAAGTGGGTGATGGAAGGGTGAATCGGTGGATGGAGAGAAGGATGGATGGATGAATGGATGGGAGGATGGGAGGGTGGATGGAAGGATGGGAGGATGGGTGGATGGATGGGTCGGTGGATGGATGGGTGGGTGGAAGGACGGGAGGATGGATGGGCGGGTGGATGGAGGATGGATGGAAGGATGGGTGGGTGGATGGAAGGATGGGTGGGTGGGTGGGAGGATGGATGGAAGGATGGGAGGATGGGTGGAAGGATTGGTGGGTGGGTGGGTGGATGGGTGGATGGGGGATGGCTGCCTAGATGGACAGAAGGGAGAGAAGGGGGTAGGGATTAAGGAGAAGACCATACTTTTTTTCCTTTGTAGTAATTTCTGTAAATGACACCCAGTCCTTGACTCATTTGGAAGGACTACAAAATAAATATGATCTAAGGTATGCAAAGCTTACAAATTTATTAGTGGCTTGTGCAGTAAACCTTCCTTTGAGGTTTTTGTGGCAAAACTAGCAACAAATTAATAAAAGCTTAATTTTTATACAAATAGTTTTATTACAAATTTGAATTTTTAAGAAATACACATTTAAAGGAATTACACAGAAGGCCTTAGTAGTCTTAAAAACGTTTTGGAGACTTGGAGTGAAATGGCACTTCAGGCAGGGTGGTCCAATTCTGCTCCCTGCAATCCATTTGCTGCCCTGCTGAAGTCTGAACACAGCTCGCGAGAACCCAAGGAAGCGCCTGAATGTGCCTACAGGTGACGACACTGATATTCTGCTTGGACAGAGCTGCTTCTCACACCAGGCCGCAGAACGCGGGTGCTCTTAAGATGAAGGCCTTTCAAGGTTGTTGCTTTTGAAGTCAAGTCATTCAGTTTGTGATTAGTGTTTAAAACCCTGAAGATATTTCATACAGAAGAAAAACAAGAAGCTCAAAGGACATGTCTCCCTGTAACAGACACCACGTCCGTGAACCTGGGTTTGGCTTTGGCAATACACAACTTTTGGTTTCGAGGTGAACAATGAAAACTGGTGTTTCACATTCAATACCCTAGTGCTTTAAAAATTTCTGTTAAAGGACAACACAGGCTTTTAAAGGAAGAAACTATGAAAGCTTTATTTTAACAGTGGAAATGAAACTACAGCTTGACCTGCCTAATTGCTGACATCTATATAAATTACTAAAATATATATATATTTCCTTTCTGCCTACTTTGGGGACCACCTTGATTCCACAGGAAACCCGTGATTTCTGCAAGAGCAGCTGCACAGTACCACACGGAGCAGAGAGACTGACATTTTTCTTTGGAGGGAGGGGGTGGCCGGAAGAAGGGCTGCAGGCCGTCCCTCCAGCGGAAGGGCGCGGCCGGCGGCTCCGCGCGGCTGTACTTGGACGGGCCCCGGGGACCTGCATTCTGAGGCCGCTCGGCAGGGACCTCGGCAGACCGCGCGTCTGGGGGTGGAGCGGACCTGTCGGGACACGGGGAGGCCCCGGGCCGCCCGCCCCCCTAGCACCCTTTGGTTCCTGGTGGGTCTCGCGTCACACAGGAGCGCACGGACTCAGGACAGACATGCTCTTTATTGCATCGGGACGCCCGGGGGCTCCTCCACAGGCTCGGCGTGGACGTGGCGGCCCTCCAGCAGCAGAGGCCAGCGAAGCAGGGGTGTTAGTCTGGCAGGTCCCCATCGGGCACCTTACGGGTTCGTATGGGCAGTGAGGTACACGGGCTATATTTCTAGAGCTCGTTGCGGTTAGGAGGGGGGGGGGAGGAGGGGTAGCACCATGTTGTGACGCAGCTGCGGGCCGGCTCGGCTATGTCCTCCGCATGCATACTTGGCAGCGGCTGATGTGCGTGCGCAGCTCCCCGGCCTTCAGCGTGGACGGCGTGGGCTTCCTGAAACGCAGCACAGAGGCCGGTCACCGCACGGGCCTCCCAGCCGCCGGAGACCCCCGGGGACAGCCCCCGCCCTGCCTGTGGGCACATCCCGCGGCCCCGGCAACGCCTGCGAGTTATCACCTGCATCCCGTTCCCAGGGCGTGAGAACATGCCTAGAGCCACCCAGGTCGGTCTGAGCCCAAAGTCTCAGCCACTGCCCACCACAGACCTCTACCACCTCCTCAAATGCCAGCATCAAACTTCTGCTCTCTCAACTCGATTATAAACACCCCCAGACTAAGAAGATACTCTTCTCTGGGACACTTCACACACACACATCCGAAGGGCGTGTCCGACTCTTTGCGACCCCATGGACTATACAGTCCATGGGATTCTCCAGGCCAGGATACTGGAGTGGGTAGCCTTTCCCTTCTCCAGGGGATCTTCCCAACCCAGGGATCGATCCCAGCTCTCCCACATTGCAGGCGGATTCTTTACCGTCTGAATCACCAGGAAAGCCTGTATAATAAGAGTACCTTGTCCGAAAATTGAGATGGTTTATATTAGCAAAGTTGGTGAAAATCCTAGTGCCCCCAAATTATTTAAATGCATGGGACCTCACCTAGTCTTGTTTAAGAAGACATTTGAATTAATTGTACCAGGCTGCTGGTTTGGGGGAAAAAAAAAAAAACCCATTGTTACCTATTTACCTATAATGGGCAGCCCCAGGAACTGGTGCTAAAACGGTCAAGTCAGAGTTGACGACAAGTTCCCAGCGGCCTAGAAAGTGTCCTGTGAGCTACGAGAAAGGCCCCTGGCTCTTTTCTGATGCTTGGAAACTTACAAATAGTGAATATGCTGCTTCACCCTTACGATCTAAGCTAGAAAGAGGCAGGGTCACAGCAGAGGTCTGTGGAATGCTCTCCAAAAAGATAAAGACAGAAGCGCTTATTTCCAAGGCTGAGCCGTCCTTATGTGGGGGAAAGAACAGTAAGTGTTCAGGCCCCTCGGCATCCCGCAGCAGCTCCAGCAGGCACTGAGAACGGCACAGACGCCTCGTTATGTCCAGCAGGGACTGGGCTCCGCGCCAGGCTAACTTCGAGGTCAGTGGCCACTCGAGACCATCGTTTTAAAGGGGAAGTTTTGTTAGAGGAAAAGAAAGACAAGTCCCTCCCTATCTATTTTGGCTGCAATTTGTGCTGAAATTAATTTTCCTCCGTGCAGGCCTAAAAACAGTTACTGGCGACTCACAACACATACGTCCAATTCAGCCTTATAGACACTGTGAAAACCAAGGCTATTCGCTCTCTCTCTGCTGATCAAAGGTACCACGTCTAAAACGATTTGAGTTGTTTTAATGATGCTGCCGTGGATTCACTTTGGAAAACAACCTTTCCTCTTTCATGCTTCTTCAGCAATGAAGGAATGAAGCCTGTCACCTGAGCTCCACCTTTGAAAACGGTCTCGGTTATTCACCCACATAGAACAGACTCATAGACTCATTCTTCCACGTGGAAGGAGGACTGTCCCTGAGAACTGCTGCAGAACCGTCTCTGGGACTCTGCACGGGTCACGGGTGTGGATCATGGCTGACTGAAAAGAAAAGTCGCCGAGGGGAAGGGGCCAGAGCCACTTACTTGAACATCTCGCTCCGCTCTATCGTAGCGAGCCAAAAGCTGTAAGCATTGGCGTAGTAATTGCAAGTTCCGCGGCCGTGGCACTCGATGAAGGGGGCGCTTCTGAACTCCTCCAGACACGAGCCAGGGGAGGCGAGGGCCTGGCCAGAGCCTTCAGCCCCGGCGCTGGTGTGCTGCGGGGAAAGGGGACCGCGAGTCAGCGGGGATCGGGGTGCCCCCCCCTACAGAGCCGCCCCTTCTGCCTCCTGCGGTCACACACAGGCACCCACACCTCCCCGTGGCCAGGCCCCTGGGGACCCTTCACAGGGCGTCCCAGCAGTGAGGGCGGGAGCCAGAGAGGAGAGGTGGGGAGGTGATGGGCGTGGCTCTGGGGCAAACACGGAGCTGCTCCAAACACTCACCATCACAAAGGAGTAGCCGATCCAGAGCGAGGACCAGCCGGTGGGGCACTGGGGAATCTGGATTGTCTGGCTGTGCACGGCCATCACCATGGCCGGAGCCTCACACACCGCGCACCTGCGAGGAACCAGAGCCAAGACCCTCAGTCGGTGCAAGGAGTCCCGCCTGCTCACCCCTCCCCGGCACCCGCTCTCCAGCCCTGCCCCCAGCCTTGCCGGTCCAGTGACATCTTATCAAACGGAGCAGGTGCCCCTGCCTGGACTCTGAGGCCCAGGGCCTCTCACTGGTTTGATAGAGTTGCCTCGGTGTTAAAATATTAAACTCCCAGCCACACTCAAGACTTGTCATCTCTCCACCTGCTCTGTTATAAGGGGAAGGCAACCCGGAGCCAGGTTGTAAGAGGGCCCGTCTCCTGGGGGAGCTGGGGCCGCAGGAGACGTCTGTGTCTCCTCTGTGTACTGCAGCATCCTCCGGCGTTTCAGAGATGAGCACCGACCTCAGCAAACACAAGGAATGCTCAAGAAAAAGGAGACGGTGCAGTTCAGAGGCCAGTGCTTCTGGAACATGGCGATCTGTTTTAAGCCCTGAATCATCTTCAATGTAAGAACATTTGCTGAATTACAGTAACTGAGAAAAACAATGAACCCAGGGCCAGCAGTCCACATGCGCCTCCTTCCAGAGACCATCCAGACCTAGAGCCAACAGACCAGTGAAGAGACCTGCCCGGGGCTGGACCCAGAATATTCTGACTGGCTCCTGCTGTACTAAGGGACCCTCTGATGGTGGGATCACGGTTAAAGAAATAAATGAACAATAGCAGTAACTACATTCAAGTCACAAATGAACACGGGGCTAACAGTGCTGATAGATGACTACAAATGATGCTAATAACACACCTAGCTATGCTGGAACATTTGCACAAAAATAGATGAGAAGTGGGAACAGGCCTGAATGAGTCACTCGGTCTTCCCGGACATGTGAGTCTGCGTGTGTGTTGTGCTACTTCGACTTTATTCACACAAATGCAGATGAACTAAAGGGCTCAATTAAACAACAGTTACTGAAATTGGCCTTTCACATCTGCCACCATCTGCCTGCCAGGCCCAGGAGCAGACACACAGAACGGGGAAGGTGACTCATGTCAGCCTCTGCTGCGCTGGCGGAGTCAAGCTGCTGCAGAGATGTGGTCTTGAGCCCGTGAGATGGGTGTTATGGGACAGAGAATCGCAGGTTTAACGAGCCGCATCTTCCCCTGAAATTCATACAGTCTCATTCTCCGTATTATTCATGAGAATCTGAGACCACAGCTAGTGCATGCATAAGGCAGAATTTGCGCTCAGTTCTTGCTCTCAGACCAGTGGTCTGTCCTCTAGAGCAATTAAACAGTCCACAGTTTTTGATGCCTCACATCTGCAGAAAGTACTTGGAAAATTGAGGCAGGATGACAGCAGAAAACTTGCTACTCTTTCTGCTGGAGAGGAAAGATTTTGTGTTGTTAATTCTACAATTAAGCTTTAGGATGTCCCCAAAGGAAAGGCCTTGGAAAGAACTTGTGAGTTTTGAGAGGTCGTCAGAAACCGCCAGGTTAAAGTGACATGGGCGCTGGGTGCCCTGGAGGAACAGGTGGCGTGATCACAAGAGGGGAGGCAGATACATGCGCTTTCAGAGCGGTGACGTGAAAGCTGTGACTTTTGAGGTCTCTTCAGGCCCAGAGCCTGTGGGTCAGCTAACAGGGAGCTGTGAACACCCTGAAACGGGCAGCACTGGGGCATTTAAACAACTGGTGACAGGCCCACAGGGAAGAGCAAGTCCCAGACCCAGTCGACTCCTGGACCGGTTTCCGGGATGTCCTAACCCATCCCAGAGCCCCCACGTCCCAGCCAAATCAAGGTCAGTGTCAAGTTTGCCAAGACGGTGAATAGGAAACAAAAACGAGAATCACAATCTACCTGTCATCCACGGAAAGCTAGACAGAAACACAAAGGTGGTTAGTTCTCGTTCTCGTGAACCTGACACAGTTCTGAGCAAGAAACATCTCGACGCAGAACAGCCCACAGACACCCCCAACATGCAGAAGGACTCTGCGTTTGGCGAGGGGCCTCTCGGGAAGCTCCCGTTTTAAGGTCCAGGAGGTGAGTTTTCTTACGGCTCAAATAAAGCGGTTGGATGTAAGGCCTTCAAAAACCTGACTCTTCTCACAGGCATCACCCAGCCTTTCTGCTCCGGGTCCACAGGGTAGGTTCTTTTTAAGAAGACTGATCTGGACCAGCCTTCCATGTGATGGAGCCACAGACCCTATAACTGGCTGGCCCCCTCGAAGCCCGCAGTGACCATCTGGGGACCAGGCGGTCACCACGCACCCAGCCCCCACTTCCAGCTGCAGACACCCCTCAGCCAGCACTGTTATATCTTTCCTCCTGTTCAGAAGCTGCTATTTCCCTAAAAGAAATTCAGAAAAGCTTATGTTCTTTCTCCTTCTCACTCTGCTAAGGCAAACTTGTCCCGCCTTGTCATTCTTTTTATCTTCCATTATCTGCTCGTGTAGAAGACTAGCTTCTCAGTGAAACAAATTCATACATTTGCCTCTGTTCTATTACTTCTGAGTGCAGCTAAGGAAGCAACTTTTTAATTAGAAGGAAAGAAGCAAAGATAAGACAACTATGTACTTTTCGGTCATAATAATTCCAATTTCCCATTTTATTTCCTACCAGGCAGATTCTGGGGGACTTGAAAACATACCCCAGACATTAATTAGTGTGGAAAGCACTTAATTTGGGAAGTCACTCAAACATATGCATTCTCAGTGGGGACAATATTACCTTCAGGGTGCAAAAACTGGTGTAGTGGGGGAGAATATGAGAATTCTTAGAACATACACATGTTCTAATGCACATAATACATCAGTATAATCTTCTTATGTATAAGGCACAGACATACTCTATGTCCGAGGTGTTACAATTTCTTGAGGATTCCCTCACACCCAAAGTTGAGTTCCTACATTAAGTGCCACTGAACTGCACACTTTAAAATGGTCACGATGGTAAATTTCACATTATGTGTATTTTACTATGATCAAAAATAAAATTTTTTTTTAAATTTCATGGGGGTGGGGAGTGATTCCAAAATATATATATCTTAAAAGACTCCTCACAGAGAGATTTATTTAAGAAAGAAGAAAGCAGTGAAGATGTTCCCACGTTTGTGGGAATTCCAGAGACACTGCTTGCTCGTGGCGGGGAAGGTGCTCACCCCGGCGAGTCACACGAGGTATGTGTTCTATCTCACCCAGGGTTTGCATTAAAATTTGTAAGAGGATAACTGACTTTGACAGCCAATCCTTTGCATGGCTGATTTCTGTCGCAAACTCGGGTATCACAATCAGTAAACAGAATGGCAGTGATTTGAATGTTTGGGGGGAAAACGGAAAAACACAAAAATGACCTCCGCCCTGAGGACGGGTGGCCTTTCTTCCTCGATGGTGCGTCTGCTCCGACGGGCTGGACTCACCTGCTGATGAAGGGCCGGATGCTGTCCCCGGTGATGGGAGCCATGGACATGGGCATGGGCTCCGGGGTGGACAGCCAGTAGGAGTAGTCGTTGCGGGAGGCGAAGTTGCAGACGTTGTTGATGTTACAGAAGAGGAAGGGCATGGTGCTGAACTTCCGCAGGCAGCTGCCCGCCGTGCCTGCGTGGGGAGGGCGCCTCGGCTTACCACTGACAGCCCGCCTCGCTGCAGACTGCCAGAGCCAGCCAGCACAGACACACATCCACGCTCCACGCGCGTGGAGATGGAGACAAACACGCTTGAAATTAAAGACAGCCATCCATCCGACACCTCCGTTAAGATGGAAATAGAGACATTTGAGATTACAGAAAGGAGGAAATAAACACAGCTAAATAAACACACTAGTACGACTGGAAGCGAGCATTAAATTAAAAGCCAATAGGAGACTATCAAGAATTTGCAGGACGTTTTGCTGAATGGAAACGAAATGGTTCATCAGGAGAGAGAAAACTTTTCTTAGACTGAACTCCAGAAGGAATTTAATGTGCAGCTCCTTCTACAACAGCCGAGTAACTCACTGAACAATGTTTGTGATGAAATGCATGTCTTTCTACATGTTCCCAACCTCCGTGAAAGCTAGAGGTAGGTGCACAACATTAAAATATAATTTGAAGGAGCAGATCCGGAGGGGACTAAGAAAACGATGACAAACACGCGATCCTCTGTCCATCTAAACTTACAGGACAGAGATTAGCACATGCAAAGGAATTCTGGACAGGATAACGTGGACATTTCTTAAAAAGAGTGACAGTAAAGCTGCTCTGCTCTATGATGAATAATGCAGACTGTAGAGTGTTTGCTCCAGAAATCTTGATCCTGTCTGATCACTTGAGGAAGAGGTCAAAAGTTCTGTTAAACTTTTTTAGAGAGTCAGCCTTTACAATTGCCTGGCTCCCCATTAGTAATCTGGTGGCCTTTGGATGGATGGCCGTTTGGTAAGGATGGAGGGAAACAGGGCTCTTCCCCTTCACTAGGTCTTGGCAACACCCCGAACCACAGGACGGGAGAGGAACGCAGCCCAGCACCACCCAGCACTGGAGACGCAGCACGGAACGGCCTCACACGTCTATAGGGCCCTCACCCAGGTCCTGGCCGTGCGCCCGCTCGTTGCCTTGCACGTAGAGCAGAGAGTACCCGTGGTAGAGGATTTTGGTCCCAGGAGGACACTGGGGGTCGTCTGTCGTCTGACTGTGCCGGGTCACAAGGAAGCCGTGATCGACGGATGGGGTGCCCGGGGGACCCATGGATCCCGGCAGCCCGTCAGGCCCGGGCGGACCCGGGAAGCCTCGTGGACCTGCAAGACGGGAGAGAAGCCACTTCCTTAGTTACGCGCAGGCGAGACTCGGCACGGCCACCCACAGCCACCGCCTCCGACCTGCAGCCTCGGTCACCCCTCTCTGCATCCCACCTCCGGACGGGTTACAAGCACCATGCTTGGGGCAAAGAGAAGCTCAGAGAGCTCAGTTCCGTGATAAATGGAAAATGTGAGAACACGGATACAGGAATAAATGACGTGATCTGTATCCTTACAGCACTGGGGGCTCCTGTGGGCGAGGATTATCACAGAATTTTTCAAACAAGCCTCAGTGGCCCCAGGCCGCCTGCAGAAACAGGGCGGGAAGGAAGCTCCCTTGCAGGGTGTCCTCCCATCTCGGGGGGCAACCATGTGGCCCGCAAGTCTGTCCCAGGGCCCCCTGCTGGGCTGGGCCCTGCGAGCACTCAGCAGCACCTTCGGCCTCCGGCTTCTCAGCCGTGATGGGACCTCTGAGTTCCTGCCTCTTGGGAAGCAGCTCAACCTGAACCCGGAGCAGCCAGCGGCCTTCTGGCCAACACGCGTCATTATCTGCTCCCCCTTCCCCACTGCGGCAATGGCGATTACAGACCCTTAGGAACACATACAGGGCCGTCGACCCGCCTTCTCTCAGTCACGTCCACCTCTGGAAGACGCCAAGCTTTGACCAACATCTGTCTCCCGACCCAGAAAAGAGTGATGACAACCCTCAGCCCCTCTGTAAGATTCTGTTTCTCCTAAGAAACAGACTCCTTTGGAAGTCTTTCCAGAAACGCGTTCTTCTGCAGGTTTTCGCGAGCCCGGGCCTGAGGCTTCGAGCCGGAAGACGCAGCAAGGGTGCCGCGGCTGGGAGGCGCAGCACACCTACCGGGAGGGCCGAAGGGCCCGGTCTCTCCCTTCTGCCCGGGCGCGCCGTCAAAGCCGGGCTCACCCGGGGGCCCAGGTAAGCCCACGGATCCCGTCACACCTGGGCGAGAGGAGAGAGGAGTCAGGGTCTGCTCGTGGAGAGCCATCCACGGGCTGCACCTCCTCCTTCCCTTTGGAAATGTCTTCTCTGGCCTCCGCAGATGCCAGCACAGGGCCTGGGACTGCAGGCGGGAAACTTCCTCCAGAAGCCTGAAGAGTGACGCGCACGCCGCAGGGGTCACAGCCAGACCGACCCCCCACACGCGGTCTGCTCATCACGGAGCTGGGGGTTCTCCCCGGCTTCTCCCTCTTTCTGTTGTCACTGTTCGGCAGGCAGTTTGGGGAAAGACAGGCGCGTGGGGGCTCGGGGAGATTCGATGCTTTTTCATTTTCTCAAGTGTTCCCCCTCGGCCTTATTCTGTGACTCAGATAACGTTCAAGCTTCAGATTATTGACGGGGTGGTTCTTCTGTTTGCATGTGTACACTGCTTTCTCAGGGCACTGAACCTGGAATCTCCGTGATGTTCACTTTCTACTCTAACTGTTATCCTTTTTCTTTATTTTCTATTCCCGCCCCTCTGCAATAGCTTTTAAAGTGGGGACTGCTTAGCTCCAAGAAGCAGAAAGCGTCTAGGTTACAGTGTCTGGAATCGTAAGGATTTGCACAGATCCTGGCCAGTTATGGACCACCGTGGAGAGCACCAACTCCCGGGGTGATTCTGGGCCACTGCGCCCTGCCGCCCCCCACCTTGTGGCCGGGAGAGGTGGTTCTCCCCCACCTTCACCCACGCCGTTCTAAGTGAGCACAGCAATGCTGAGCTGTATGTTCCCCCAGCTTCCCCGTGTTTCATTCTGGTCTTTTTTCATGTGTGCACATGTGGACAGTCACCCAGTCATGCCTGACTCTTGAACCCCATGGACTGTAGCCCACCAGGCACCTCTGTCCATGGGATTTCCCAGGCAAGAATACTGGAGTGGGTTGCCATTTCCTCCTCCAGGGGAACTTCCAAACCCAGGGATCGAACTCGCATCTCCTGAGTTGGCAGGCAGGTTCTTTACCACCGAGCCACCAGGGAAGAACTTCTGGCCTTTTCAGGCCCCTTCGAAAATTTCACGTGGTTTTGATATACATTAAAGGAAGATAAGAAAGTCATCTTCAAATAGGAGTTTACATAGTCACCACCCAGAGACTGACCGAGACACATGGGTAAAGAGGAAAGCTCGCCCACATCAGCCCCCTCCTGACCCCACGCCCCCTTGATTGCCCAGCCAGCTTATTCTTACCTTGCTGTCCTTTCGGGCCTGGAGGTCCCTGAAGCCCTTTCAGACCCGCGGGGCCCTCGGGCCCAGGGAGCCCTGGTTCCCCCTTGATGATGTCGAACGGACCTGGGGGACCCGGGGGGCCGGGAAGACCTGTGGGAATCAAGGTGGCCACTGGTCAATTTTACTGTCAGCACTCGGGGCAGAAACGGCGTGTGACATGAAACCCAACCAAAAGCAATGCTTTCAAAAGGAGAATCCTGATTAAACACACAAGTCACCAGACGCTCACAAGACACGGATCTGCTCATCTCCATTATCTAACCTAAAATCCTGCATCCTCGGGATGAGAAGTGACTCAGGTCACCAGTGTCAACTGTCCACTCCTCTCTAGATGCCCTGACAGACCCTCCCTGCCATGAAGCTCAACCCTCCGAGGGCCTCGCCTCCCACCTGGGGAGCCCCAACACGTGAAATTAGGATGTTTGCTCTGATCTTTTTTCTGAAACCCGCCTGAATGCACACCAGAGCCACTGGTCTTAATTTTTTAACGATGACGGAACGTAACCCTCTTCATACTATTCATGGATGCTGAGAAAGATTGATCGCGCGGGGAGAAGGGGACGACAGAGGATGAGATGGTTGGATGGCATCACCGACTCAGTGGACATGGGTGTGAGCAAAGTCCGGGACTCGGTGATGGACAGGGAGGCCTGGCGTGCTGCAGTCCATGGGGTCTCAGAGAGTCGGACACGACTGAGTGACTGAGCTGAACTGAACTGAACGTAAGCCTCCTGTTGCCTGACGGGTCCTGAAACACGTGGCGCAATCGTGAGGCGTCCCGGGTCTTCCACAGCCTCCCCCGTCCCTTCTCTCACTCCTTACACATTTCTCTGTTTGTTTTGCCCCCTAATCATCCACATCCCTGTGCATTATGGGTACTAACTCCCTCTATCAAAACGAAACGCAGCCCTAGAAATGAGCTCTGGCCCATGGAGGCCAGGGCAGGATGGAGATCGTCTCCTTCCCAGACCAGCTGCATCTCTGGAGCCGCTGGGCACGTCCCGTTCCCCGTGGAGAAGCCAGGGCAGGCCCTTTTCCATAAAGGGCTCCATGCTGTCCAGCCTGCTCATGCCAGCCAGGTTTCACTCCTTGTTTTCACAGCTGATTTCCATCTGCCCTCAGAGCCCGGGACAGTCTGTGAATCTTGAGTCCCTCATCCGCTCTGTGCTGGATCAACCTCACACACAGATGGAACCAACCTGGCTTTCGGAACAGATCGCGGGTAGACACGCCCACTAGACTAGCCACACACAGCAACAATGCCAAGGAGTGGCCTGAGCGTTGCGACCACATCCCCTTACCTTTAGTTCCCGGGAAGCCTTGGTCTCCTTGGTCACCTTTAACTCCCTGCAGGCCAGGGAGGCCTTTCTGACCTAGAGGAAAGTAGAACATATCGTCTTGGCACAGAATTCCGAAAGATATCCGTGTGTGCATGTGTGTGAACACACGCAAGCGTTGGGTTGGCCAAGAGGTTCATTCAGGTTTATTCTACAAAACCTTATTAAAACCTGAATGAACTTTTAGCCAACCCAGTATATACATATATACACAAACATTTACACACACGCCCGCGTGTACTGCATATACATATACACGCCTACAAACACACATGCATACATTACACATGCACACACATGTACACATGCACAGACACACACATAGTGAGCACGTTTCCAATTTATGCCCCTAGAAGAAAACAGCACTCTTTGTAGTTAGTTCATAAAACTTTTGATGAAAACTCTCCTTTCTGAAACCCCAGAAGTCACATTTTTCCAAACACATAGCAAACCCTAAAACAGTCACAACCAGCAGAGGGGCATGCGACTCTGCTTTTGGTAACAATCCGGTTCCCACGCGTCCCCAGTTAGACTGCAAGACGCCTGCAAGCTGAGAACTTGTTTTATTCACCTTCCATTCACATGTACCTGATTTTTCAGTTAAAATCACATTGCCTGGAAGCTGGTAGGCACCCAATAAATATTTGCTTAAAAAATTAATGAATGGCCCAAATCCCCCATGATTTCTCATCGAGGTCCACTGGTTCTTAGGAAGGAAATCAGGATGTCTTTATACACTCAAGCATGAGAGTCTACGAATGAGGCTGCCATCCAGAAAGGGCGTTTTAATGTGAAGAGGACAGAATCTCGTCCTGGTCATGCCAATCTATCAGCAGGCAGCGCCAGGGTTGGGGCTCTAGTAGCAGGGACACATGTCTTCAAGTATCATCGCCTTAACGTCTTACCTTGAAACCCTGGAACTCCTGGAAGTCCCATATCACCCTTGGCTCCTGTGATTCCTGGAGAGCCGCCAATGCCCTAGACACACAAGAGAATGTCAATCGGGAACTGCTCAAGGGACGTAAGTCTCTCAAGTAGGCGGCAGTGGGGAAGCCAAGACAGCCCCTCTGTATTCTGAAAGTGGCTTTGTGAACAAATGGGGCCTCGTGGTTTATTAAAGATGTAAGAAGAATGACAAAACCTCTGTGCGTGCTTAAATCAGGATGCTGGAAATGGCAACACTCATTCATTCACTCTGTCCCTTCTGCTGTCCATCTATGTGGTCAGTTCCAGGAGCAGGTGTGAATCTGACATCCCACTGTCCCCACCACACAACACGATGCCATGAACAGAATCGAAACTCCCTAAACATCTGTCGTGGCAACATCTCAACACCAAAGAACCTTCCTGGAAAACCTTCCTCCTAACACTCAACCATAGTGATTTTTCTTTAGAACTGACTTTATATCTTGTCTTAAAAGAGCTTCTAAATATGGGGAGAGGAATGTTCAAAAACTAAAGAAGGATCATTTTCCTTTACAATATAGTGATGTTCTTATATTTTTAAAATATTACCTTAATTTCTACATATTTCAACAGTTGTTCCTTTCACAATATATAAAAAGTTGTGTTGTTTCTTACTTATATTTATTTCTTTGCTTTACTTTATTTTAACAAGGTAACCAAAATAACATGAACAAGTGTTTGTAGATATGTATACATATAATCCAGTAGTCACGTATGGATGTGAGAGCTGGACCATAAAGAGAGCCAAAAAAACTGATGCTGTCAAATTGTGGAGCTGGAGAAGGCTCTTGAGAGTCCCTTGGACAGCAAGGAGATTAAACCAGTCAGTCCTAAAGGAAATCAACCCTCAATATCCATTGGAAAGACTGATGCTGAAGCTGAAGCTCCAAAACTTTGGCCAGCTGATGCAAAGGCTGACTCATTGAAAAAGACCCCAGTGCTGGGAAAGACTGAAGGCAAAAGAAGAAGAGGGTGGCAGAGGATGAGATGGTTGGATGGCATCACTGACTCAATGGACATGAATCTCAGCAAACTCTGGGAACAGGGAAGGACAGAGGAGCCTGCAGTCCATAGGGTCGCAAAGAGTCAGACACAACAACATACATATAATGCAAATGTGCACTCATGGACACAGACTGAAAATGGCACTAGGAATAGAGTGTATATTTCTGTGTTACCGAGGCTTTCTTTTTGTATCATTTGTACATAGGTTTTTAAGTCAGGCATTGAACTGTAATTTCCAGTATTGTAACATTTCACGTCTGATGGTTCATGTAAAACTAGACTGTAAGAACTGTTGTTAACAGCTGCCTACCGTGATTACTTGCCAGAGAGAAGGGACTGATTTAGAGAGGCTCTGGGAGTATAACATACATGCAATGCATGTGGATACACACACACACACACACACACACACACACACACACAAGTATTATCTTTTGATCCTTTCCAAAAACAGGACCTGTCATTGGACAACTCACCGGCATGCCCTGGAATCCTGGGTCTCCCTTGGGCCCTGGTGCTCCTGGAGTGCCCGGCCAGCCTGGGTTCCCCTTGTCACCTTTCAGCCCATCGAGCCCGGGGAGGCCTGGAGGCCCCATGGGTCCCGGATGCCCTAGCGGGAGACACAGAAGACACACACTTGAGGTTGGAGGGTGGTCTGATGTACAAGTGGCATTAGACTGTGCTTGTCACGATGCCACCCAAGTGCCCCCAACTACCTGAGGCAACATCGCGTTAAAGCAGCATGAGCCCAGAAGACCCCGAGTCCTGGAGGGAAGACTCAACAGGCAGCACACACTGCTTCAGATAGCCAGACTCAGAGTGAGTGCCCCGCGGGCCCAAGGCTCAGGGGCGATCGCGGCGCCCTGCAGCACCGCTGCGCCGGGGGACAGAGGTCACGCCGGTTTTAAACCCCACCGCACGTGGCCCTCGTGGTCCAGCCCTTCCTGTGATGCCCTGCCTCCCTCCCCCAGCTCCCTGTCGTGCATACTAAGTTCCCCGACAGAAAGGACACGGGAAAAGCAACAACAGAGGCCCAAGAGACAGCGGCCCAAAGTCTTCAGCAGTTTCAAGGGGTAAAAAAGGCTGCCAACTTCTCAACAGAAGGCTCATTCAAGACTCTGATTATCCGCGTTACACCCGCGTGCGTGTGTCCCTCTTTCGGCCGCAGCGCTGAGCTCCTGAAACATCCTTACCTGGCAGGCCGGGTTGTCCTTGCGGGCCGCGGTCTCCTTTGGGCCCCTCTACCGCGTGGCCTGGGGTCCCTGGCAATCCCGGCTGTCCCTGTGGTCCCGGGGGACCCATGAAGCCTTGTTCTCCTTTGGATCCAGGGATTCCTGGGCTCCCGGCTAATCCTGGGAAGCCCACGTCGCCCTTTGAACCTGAACAGTAAAGACAGTGGAGATGGTGGTGAAATGCGGGGAAGAAGAGAGACCCAGCGCACCGAGGAGGAGGGGAGCCTCAGAAGGCCCAGGAGGAAACCGGAGCCCGGGGCCCTCCTCTCTCCTTTTTACTGAATGGCACCCGACTCCCGCCACAGCCCGCCTGAAAAACGGAAGCTTAGGATACCAAGAAGCTGCCATCATTCCTTGTGCTCTTTAAAGCACATGTTCCGCGGCAAAGGCACTTGCATGTGTGTGGACACAAGCCGGCAAGGTAAGGCAAGGCTGAAATTAAGGGCTTGCCCCATCCACAGGCGAATGAAGAAACAAACAGTGCTATATCCACCCCAAGGAGCTCGACTCAGCAAGAAGAGTGAAGGGTGGACACAGTAGTGGAACTACGGCACCGGCGACCCTCAGACTCATTATGCCGAGTTAAAGAAGTCAGGCTGAAACGTACATGTTGTAGGACTCCATTTGCGTAAAATTCTAGATAATACAAGCTAGTCGACAGTGCCAGAAAGCAGACCAACGGTCACTTGGGGTGCAGTGGGGTGGAGGCGGCAGAAAGGGGCAGGAGGGGGCTGACAAGGCAGCCCGGGGAACTTCTGGGGCGGTGATGTGTTCACATCTTGAATGTGCTGGTATTTTCATGGATGTGTGCACATATATCAAGATTTATCAAACTGTACACTTTAAATATATGCAGTTTATTACATGTCAGTGACACCTCAATAAAGCTGTTTTTTTTTAAAAAATTTCTAAGTCAGAACTTGTAGGAAAAAAACTTGCATGTTTAGTTTTAAACATACTACACCAAACTTGTCAAAAAATGACAAAATTCTAGGACCATCTTAAAGTTATTAAGGAAAAGGAAGAAGGGAAGGAAACAGGGTCACGGTCTAGAAGGATCACGGGGCCCTCCTTGGGATCCCTCCCACATGCCCCCACTTCACGAGTATGAATCCAAGACACGGCACATCGCACGGTGGCACAGGACAGAAAGGGTCCTGTCTACTGTCCCAGACCCTAAACTATCACCACCCTAAGTCCAAGGGCTTCCCTGTATTTGCCCGCCCTGCTCTGAGGGTGTTGTGTGTACCAGAGGTTCGCTGAAAAGGAAGAACAGATTTGGCAAATGTGTTACCTTTCTCTCCTTTGCTCCCTGGAAACCCTGGGAATCCTCTTCCAGGTAGACCTACGAGATAAAGGTAAGAAGCCACGTTCACCTCTCCTAAAGCAGCCAAGCTGCAGGAACAGCACAAAGCAATATCCACTCTTGGCGCCAAAACCATACACAATTTGCAGAACACAAATCAGTTCACTGCACTTTGCAAGTAAAACTGTATTCCTACAGTTGTTCTAAGATACCCTTGACTGGATATGTATAATGTAGTACATTTTCCCAAGTACCTCTGAGCTCAGAACCACTACAGCATTTAGTAGAAACAACTTATACAAATGGGTGCTAATTTCCCATTATTGTCTGGAGACTCACAATCGGCTTTTCTCAGATGACCATCCAACTAACAGCTATTCTCAAAGGGGGTGCAGAGGGCCAGGTGGGCCAGCAGATAGCAGGGAGCCCACAAATGTGCATAAAGCATGTGAGGGAAGATCCAAAGGAGGGAAGTAGGTATGGTGGCACTTTTAATGAATTACTTTTATAGGAAAATGAACGTACATAATACAAACATAAGGCTCATAGAATGAAAACATGAGCTGTAGAAGGAGGCCAGTGCCAGCAGTAAGGGGGCCTCTGACCACCCCTTCCCAGCTCTGCATCCCTCCCTCCATCCCCATGACCGGGGGTCACCTGTTTCACACTGAGTGTCACCCTCCTGCTGTTGGGTTGGCCAAAAGTTTCATTCGGGTTTTTCCATAAGATGTAACAGAAAAACCCAAATGAACTCTTTGGCCAACTCAGTCTACATGAGTATTATAACTCAATGTATACAAGTATTATTGCACATGTGATTATCATCACTGGAGTTCACAGCTTGCACTTTTTGCCAAGTTGCCACGTCCCCATCAGTGAGAGGAGCAGATTCAGGGGGCAGCAGCTATCCCCAGGACCATCTGTCTGAAGGGAGAGAGGCCAGGCAGAGAAAGCCACGGTCTGGGCTTTCTGTGTATCTCTTTCACTCACCACAAGAGCTCAGGCCATTTGAAGGGCAGGTGCCCAGAAGTATCTGTGGAATAAACGAACACTGCCTCTCCCCTTCTCTCATCCCGCCCTGCCCAGGTGTCCACATCACTGTCCCACAGACGTAAGGATGGAACGTCGTAGGTGCCACTTTACACCGGGCCCCGGTCACTCAGCAAGGAATGGGAAGCTCTGGGAGATGTGCGCTCCAGGGCACAGCCTCACTCTGAAAGGGAACGGACACCCAACGTACCTGGCTCGCCCTTCTCTCCCACCGACCCTGGGATTCCATCGCTGCCGGGCTCCCCTTTCTGGCCAGCTGGGCCCGTGGGGCCAGGCTTCCCAGGAAGACCTCAAAGAGAATGGTCAGACTGGTCAGCACCCTGATCTGTGTGGAAAACGCACCACTGTTCCCAACATGCTTCTGGGGAGCCATTCCCACCCCTCAAGCAGGCCCAGCTTCCTGCAAGTTGCTCCTGAATCCCCCTCAGCAGGGACCACTGCATGCTGACCCCCAGAAGCTGGAGTGAGTGGAGACAAAGAGTATCCATCCATCGTGCCAAGCAGGAAAACTTGTTTCTAAAACCAGTTCAGTCTAACTGGTGTGAAGACCTTGGAAGACCCTGGAAGCTCCCCCAGACACAGTCTATTCAACTGGAGGAGGAGGTATGACCCCACAGGTCACCCAGAGGTCACCCAGCCTGACGTCCCGTGACCTCCCTCCACGGGCCCCCATGTGTCCTGAAATGTGGTCTCTACCTGCTTCTCCTTTGATGCCAGGAATGCCATCCAGTCCCGGGAGGCCTTTGTCACCTTTCTCTCCAGGCAACCCAGGGCTTCCTAAAGAAAAACCGGAACACCCAGTTCCCATGACCATGACTTTCTCTTTGCCACCCCTGGACCCCGAGCTCAGGAGGGGGCTGGCCCACTTACCTGGATAGCCAACACTGCCCGGGGAGCCTTTGGGGCCCGGTGACCCGGGCATCCCTGGGATCCCAGCGCTTCCTTTCTCTCCCTTCTCGCCGGGGCTTCCTGGAAATCCTGACAAGCCCTGGTCTCCCTGTGGGTGTAGATTGGGCCCGTTAATGCTGTTGGGAAAGCAGGCACGGGTCTGGAGGCGCCTCCTGTATAGACGTGGGTGCAGGGACTACAGCCCGTATACATGTGGGTTCGGGGACTACCGTCTGTATTCATGTGGCTGCAACAACTACCACCCTATACACAACTATACACACGTGGACGCAGAGACTGCCTGTATACACGTGGGCGCAGGACGACCGCCTGTATACACGTGAGCACGGGGACGACTGCCTGTATACACGTGGCTGCAACGACTCCTGCCTGGCAGAACTCCACTTCTGGCTTTCTAAAGGGGGAATCGAAGCCCACTCTAGAAACGGAGGAAGAGCCAGAAACCCAGCGGCAGAGAGCAGCCACCTGTTCTGCTTCTCCAGTTCCTCCTCCGCTTCGCCCCATGATAACTTGATGCTCCAGCTCTCAGCAAGTCTCGGGTCCTCCTTGGGGGAGGCGGGGAGACTGTTCCGTTAGGATTCATTTACTGTGTGGAGGTGCTACACACTCCCTTGCAGCCGTTGGTGAGGGAGGGAGACAGGTGGGAGGGGGTTCTGTGGGGATGGGTGGGAGGGGCTTCTGCAGACAGGTGGGAGGGGCTTCCGCAGAGACGGGTGGGTGGGGCTTCTGCAGACAGGTGGGAGGGGCTTCCGCAGAGACGGGTGGGAGGGGCTTCTGCAGACAGGTGGGAGGGGCTTCCGCAGAGACGGGAGGGAGGGGCTTTCGTGCAGGATGCAGTTACCTTGTCCCCGGGCCGTCCTGGAATCCCAATGCCAGGCAGACCCGCCTGCCCCTTCTCTCCTTTTGCCCCCTTGTCTCCAGGTAAGCCAGGAATGCCCTGCGGGCCGGGGATGCCAGCCACACCTTTTGGTCCTGGCATTCCTAGAAATACACAATGGAGGCAGAGTGTCTGGTTAGCAGGTATTAGTATTACAAATAAGAACGCGCCTCAACAGCCAGTCAAGGAGGCGGAAAAACACGCATCTCTCATTTCTTGGGCTGTGCGTCATCCAGGAAGGTGCCAGTCATCCCACCGTGGAGAAGGAGCCTAGGAAACAGCCTTCCTGTCTTTTAAAGACAGCCATATTACAAAGGGAAAAGGAATATGTTAACCGCTCAGCCCATGCCTACTTTCCCAACAGCATAAAGCGGCTTCCAAGTCCTTTATTCTGCAATCAAACTTCATGAATCAGAGGGGGCATGACGCAGGTCATGGAGAACAGAACTGTCCCTGCTTCCAGACTGATGTGGGCAGTCAACCTAACCTATAGGCAGGTGCCCACAGCAGCTGGACATTTATATCTTAAATAAAGTGACAGTGCACCCCGCAGAGGCCTGGGGAGGAGCCGTGAGACAGGCCTGCTGGCCTGACTTGTGGCTCCAGGAGATTCTGAGACGCCTTGGCACCCAGACTGTCCGTGCCCCTCGGCTCTCAGCTTTCTGTCTCCTGCCTCCTCTGTGCCAGCTGTCACTGCAGCAAATGCCTATGGCAAAGTGTGGAAGCCAGCTCAGTACCGGGGCAGAGGGCCCAGAAGAGTCTTCTGAGCTAATGTCAGGAGAGCAGGAGCCTCTGGTGCTGAGAAAACTGAGTGGAGAATTAATTGCCTTTTCGATGGATCCAAATAGACACACCTGGAGAAAGTCCCCAGCCTACCACCCATGTCCATCTTGTTAAATTGGGAGGGCTTCTGTCTGTTTTTCTTAAGCCAGGGACATAGGGTCAGCCAAATGCCCGCCCTTCCCAGGCAAGAAGTCTCACATGAAGATGTGAGTCTGTGTAAAAGACACGTCTCCCCGGATTACGTCCTCAGGCAGTGGGCCTCACCCAAGCCTCACCCCAGCAGCCCGACTGGTGCCACAGGCGCGCCAGGAAGAAGCCCCCTTTCCTAAGCCCCACGCACCTGGTAGGCCCATTCCACCAGTGGATCCTTTGGGGCCAGGAAGTCCCGGAGCGCCTGGGATCCCACTCACACCTGGATCACCTTTAGGTCCTGGGATCATAAAGACAAAAACCCAACAGGTCAACAGCCACGAAGAGCACCAGGTAACACCTCCCCGCACGAGCCCCTGCCGTGCGGGCGACCTCGGGCTTCCCACCGTACCTGGCTGCCCGGGGTGTCCTGCCTGACCGTCCTTTCCAGGCACGCCTGGCGTTCCTGGGTCTCCCCGGGATCCTTTATCGCCGGTCGGACCAGTTTGTCCTGTGCAACACAGGAAAAAAAAAAATAATGACGATGCAAGTCTACTTAAAGCAAGTCGTAGAAACACAGGTGGGTCGGTCATCACGAGGGAAGAACTGAGTAGCTCGTCTGACCCCCTCCCCGCTCCGCAGGTGAACCTCCTCCACGTTACCTTTCTCGCCTTGGTCTCCCTTCTCGCCCTTCATGCTGCCCATGTCCACCTTATCCATGGAGCCTGGCTTGCCAGGGAGCCCCACGTCGCCTTTGTCACCCTTGAAGCCAGGGTCTCCCCTGGGTCCTGAAGAGCCAGGGAAGCCGTGGTCCCCTGCAGAAAGAGAGGGGGCACCGAGTGACTCGCGGCCAAGGGCCCCGGGCAGTGACAAGCGCGCGGTTCTTTCTGGCCAGTGACGCAACCGAGAAGGAATAAAGAATAAACAGCCTCTCCAAAAATGGCACTCAAGGGCCAGTGTCCGCATTACCCAGAAGAAGGTGATACCAGGCAAACGAACAATAAAGCCATTTCTAGAATTCATTACTTGCTAATACTTCCAACAGATGAGACTTCAGCTCTTAATTTAAATAAATGACATTTTTCTCTCCTTCCTAAATCCCTCATGACTCCAGTTCACAGTGGTCCCTCAACTCTACGTGAAGTAATGGAAGGGTCCCTCAACTCTACGTGAAGTAATGGAAGGGGAACTCTCCCACACAACTACACAAATCACCACTTTTATGTCTAAGGTTCAAAGTCAATTTTTTTTTGTTTAAAAAAACAAAACAGAACATTATTTTGGACCAAATGTCATGACACGAAATAAAAATTAAGACTTGTAAACTTGCTCTCTTTGCTACTTTGACTCTAAGGGCTCAGTTCCCTTGACCTTGCACGATTGAAGATTCCACCATTTCTAAAAAAAACTCAACGGTGCCAACAAACAATACCCCCAAACCTGTCTTCTCCCTGACTTTTTGGTGGGGCACAGTCCATAACCCCCACGAACCATGGGTTACACAAGGGGGGACTTCTGGACCCTTCACTTGACCTTGTCCTTTCCCAGGTTTCTTGGGATGAACTACAACCTACAATTAGAGAATTTCCCACAAGGCACTGGGGCTCAGACATATATAACACAACCTCTTCCGCAGTCACCGCTCCTTACCTTTGGCACCTGGCAATCCTGGCACGCCTGCTGGTCCTGGCGAGCCGGGCTGCCCCGGGGTCCCCATGACGCCCATCTCTCCCTTGGGACCTGTGGCCGGACAGAAGGACCGTGAACGTTGGTGGCAGAGGCTGAATGAGGGTCGTGAACAAGAGCCGGGAGGCACCTCCCCAGGCCCACGTGGGTGGAGCTCAGTCACTCACCTGGAAAGCCGGGCTGGCCGGGGGTGCCCTGCTGTCCAGGAAGGCCAGGCAGCCCCGACTGCCCCGTCAGGCCGGGGAGCCCCTGGGACCCTTTGTCTCCTTTGGGGCCCGGCATGTCCAGGCCTGGGAAGCCAGGGAAGCCTTTCTCTCCTTTCACTCCGGGGGGACCTGAGACGGGGAAGAGAAGGGGTGTTGGCAGGACTGGCGGGATGTCCGGCACTGCCCTGGAACCCGTGTGCCCGCGACTGTCTGCAGAAGGCGTGTGGCTGTGGCCACGTCAGGGTGGGGGGCGTGGAGCTGCTCCCCCTCCTCAGACGGTGGTGTGGGGGGCCGCCGTGGGCACGCACTGTCCCAAGAGGAAGTGCCCCCTGCCCACGGGGCATCGGCAGCAGGCCCCTCCACGGCCCCTCCACGGCGGGGAGGCTCAGCCCAGCGTCCCCCTGTGCGGCTCTCCCTGGCTGCCCTGTGCCACCCACCACCCCGGTCTAACTTGATGGTTATAAAGGCAAAGGCAGCTTCCAGACACGGGCTCCTGTGTGCTACCCATGACTCACTACCCCTCCTGCGGAAGGATCAGACAGAGGCGCCGATCCTTCTGAACTAAACTAAAAAGGTACTGAATGTACAATAAAGGGGAAGTGTCTTTGGCACATAAACCAAGTTCAGAGAGAGGAAGAGAATGGCATCCGTGACTTTGTGTGTGAGTCGCTCAGTCCTGTCCGACTCTTTGCGACCCCGTGGGCTGAAGCCCCCCAGGCTCCTCTGTCCATGGGATTCTCCAGGCAAGAGTACTGGAGTGGGCTGCCTTATCGCTTCTCCAGGGGATCTTCCTGACCCAGGGATCAAACTCAGGTCTCCGGCTTTATAGATGGATTCTTTACCATCTGAGCCATCAAACCTGTGTCCACAAAAGAACTGACTTCCCCTTTGAGCCACAGATTGTGAGTTAGGGAAGGGGCATTCTGGAAGAACGCAGTATCACCTGATGACCCTGGGGGTCCCTGTCCTCCGGGGGGGCCCATTGCTCCAGGGGGGCCAATCCCGGGGACTCCCGGAGCTCCTTTGGGGCCTTGCAATCCAGGAGGTCCCGGGTCACCTGGATGGGGAAGAAACAGTGGCCACATCACACAGGGACACGGCCGTGTCAGGAGCACCACCCATCACGCCAGGTGCCGGGACGCCGCCCAGGGTTGTCATCACTCCTTCCACAAACATTTACTGGGACCTAGCAAGGGCTCTGCGCCCACACAAGAAGCAGATCCCTCCCTGCCACCAGCCGGATGTGCCTGTAAGACGTTACCTCTGAGCCCCTGGAGGCCGGGGGGGCCGATAGCGCCGTGCTCTCCAGGAACTCCCGGTCCTCCGACGCTTCCCTTCTCCCCGGGGGTGCCGGGGATGCCCGGTATCCCGGGCAGGCCTTTGAGTCCCGGCAGACCGACTCCAGGCTCGCCCTGGAGACCCAAAGCACAGAGAAGCTGGTGACCCTCCGAGCCGAGGTTCGTGGGCTGTCAGACCTGGGCGTGCACTCGGGGGAGCTCTTTTGCTATCTGTGGATCGGGCCACGGAGGAGGCTCCTAAGGACCCCTCGGTGCTCAGGGCAGTCCCCGTCACGACGAATGATGGGACCCAAGTGTCCATATGACGGAAGCTGAGAGAGGCTGCCGCCCACCCTCCCGGGGGCTTCAAGTTGCCTTCCTCCTCCACTCCCGACAGGACACGCGTTGCACGTGGAGACCCAGGACGCACACGGGCAACAGCACAGATGCGAGGCGGGAACAAACGACTCCTCCGCAACGACGCAGGGATGTGTGCTGCCCCACATCGCTGGGTATTTCCTGGCTGATGCTATGGCACATAAAACGTGCTGACCCAACACACCCCGTGGGACCAGCAGCCTACGATTTGTGTGCCCAGTTCATCACAGCGATGCGGACAGCAGTCTGGGGAATGCTCGATACACACCTTCTGGCCAGGCGGACCGGGGTTGCCAGGTAAGCCGTTGAAGCCTGGGCGACCCGGATTCCCAGGAGGCCCAGCGTCTCCAGGTAAACCATCCACGCCTGTTTGGAAGAGTCAAAAAAAAAATCGTCAATGTAAAATACTACTCCCGACATCCTCCACTTCTTTAACCTGCTCAGATGAACCTGAACAGACTTGAGGGGGTCAACAAGGAAGATGAGACCACACTGGGCCTGGTGGGGGGCGACTGGGGGCAGGGACCACTCACGACGCCAGCCGCCCCCTCCGCTTTCTCCCTCTCTCCTGCCCCTCCGTTCCTTTCCTTCTTTGTAAACTTTTTTTCCTATCTGCTCCCTACAAACACACCACACAAGTATCTGCAGACCGGGAATGGCGATTTAGACTCTGGGGACTCCGAGTGAGGTTGGGGCATCCCCTTTGCCTGATTAGAAAACCAGCCCGGATCTCCCAGTGCAGACCTGCATTTTTAAAAAAGAAATCTTTGGGCCACACCACACAATACACGGGAGCCTAGTTCCCCGCTCAGGGATTGAACCCGTGCCTCTTGCATTGACCGAGTGGAGTCTTCGCCACTGGACCTCCAGGGAAGTCCCCAAACAGGCACGTGAACAAGACCCCTCATGAGGCCCCACCAGGGCTCACCTTTGGGGCCAGGAGGCCCTGGAAATCCAATCCCAGGCTGGCCGATGGCGCCCTTCTCTCCGGGGAGGCCCGGCCTTCCGGGGCTTCCAGGAAAACCTCGGTCACCTGCGGCGGGAGAGGCCAGCGGTCAGAGGAGAACATGAGCGCTTTCCCACGGGCCCCAGGTGAACCGGCGAGAACCCTAAGGGTACCTTGTGGTCCCTGGAAGCCGGGGGACCCGGGAAGTCCTTCTGCTCCAGGGGGGCCGGGCAAGGGCACGACTTTTCCTGCCTCTCCCTTGGGACCTGGAGGAAGAGAACAGACGCTCAGCGTGAGGGCCGCAGGCTCGCGTCCGGGAGAGCGGCCCCGTCCACACACCTCCCTCCCTTGCTTCCACCGAAGCATCTCTCACAGAGACCGACCGCCTCCTCTCCACAAACGACCAGACTGACCGGGACGTTCCGTCAACATAGGCATCCCTTACGTGTCCAAAACAAGAGTCACGAAAAGCTGAAAACTCAGCAGATGCAGAAAGCAAGGCGACCCCGGGTCACCATCTGTCCAAGTCAGGACCCCCTGGCCAGCCCCTCTGAGCGTCTCAGACGGGACTGGCTCTCAGCTGCTCTGAGGCCCGTCTGCTGGAAGTCATCTTCAGGACCTGCTCCGCGGGCGACATGAGCCGGGTTATGCCAGCAGCCCAGAAAAGCCCCTCCCTCTCCAAGCTGGGAGGGGGGGCCCAGCCCCTGGGCGCCCGTGCCTGCGAGGACCACTGGGTGTCAGGATTGAGCTGTGTCAGGGAAGGACCACAGGCCTCATCTCACTGAATCATTGCGTACCTTAAAGAATTCAGGATAACGAGGGCCTCCCGAGGGCGGCCGGCACTCTCGTTAGCTGCAGACTGTGGGAAACGCTGGGGCCTGACCCCAACACATCTGTGCTATCAGCTCCAGGCCTGGGAATGAGGCTTTTATGATCCTCAGAGCAAACACAGCTCTGGCCGATCAGAGCAGCTGGGTCTCTAATCCCAGGGCTGCCGGGGTCTGGAGTGGCCCAGAGAGCTTCCAGAATGTGGCCAACTGCCCGACAGCACTGCCAGCTTTCCCACCTTCGGGAACCTTCTCTTCATCCTCTCAAGACCTATCCGTGTGTGCCCCACAGGCTTTTCTGATGATGGTGGCTTCTGGCCGAGAGAAAAAGCTGATTCCTGTTTACACTCTGCAAGTATTCAGGCTCGAGGGGCACACAGAACACTTGAGATGGTGCTCTGGGAATCAGGAGCAGGAGGGCCCCTCTCCAAGACCGAGGGGCTTCCCAAGCCAAGCCCAGGACTTCCTGCCCCGAACGGAGTCATAGAAGAGACATTTCTCGGGTCCCTGCTAAACAGCGAACAAGTCAGTCCTGACTTAAGGCCAAGTAACCAGTGATCACCCAGCAATGACAGCAGTAACAACCGACACAGCAAGATGCGTTTGCACTCCCATCAAAGGCTGCTGGCATTTCCTGCGGCGCCGAGCTGATGACTCTACACCGTGCCTTCACAGGAGATGACGGCTCCCAGTGGGGGCCGAGACTGGTGGAACTCGGGGCCGGACACCGGCTCGGGACAGCGGGCAGACGTGTGAGGGCCCGACGAACGGCAGCTCTTCCTGGAAACCCTGGCCGTCCGCTGCTGAGTCACTGTGCCCCCCAAGGTTCCCTGCTCACGGCCCTGGAGCCTCCCCGGCCGCCTCTCACTCACTTCTCCCACTTGTAAAGCATCCCAGCAACGCGCACGCCCTCTGTCCTCCATGTCCAGGCCACTCCCGGCCTCTTCTTTCCTAAGTGTTGCAGGCAACCATGTCAGCGCTCCCTTCCTTCTCTGCTGCTCAGTTACTCAGGCGTGTCTGCCTCTCTGCGACCCCGTGGACTGTAGCACGCCAGGCTTCCCGGTCCTTCCTCATCTCCTGGAGTTTGCCCAGACTCATGTCCATCACGCTGGTGATGCCATCCAACCATCCCATCCCCTGCCGTCCCCTTCTCCTGCCGCCTTCAATCTTTCCCAGCGTCAGGGTCTTTTCCAATGAGTCAGCTCTTCCCATCAGGTGGCCAAATGACTGGAGCTGCAGCTTCAGCATCGGTCCTTCCAGTGGATCACAGTCAGGTCACTGAGCAGCTTCTGTGTGCAGGTCCTGGGGAGCCCCCTTCCCTGCGGTCCCCAATGATGAACCCGTACGTGGCCGGAGATACGCAGAAGCCAAAACGGGCCGCTCGTCGGGGGAAAAGGAGAGCATGGGCCTATGCTGTTTTAACATCCACATAAAGGGCTGGTTTCCACTGGTACGTACGGCATGGGCGTGCTGCGTGCTAAGTCACTCCGTTATCTCTGACTCTTTGCAACCCCTTGGACTGGAGCCTGCGAGGCTCCTCTGTCCATGGGGTTCTCCAGGGACGAATATTGGAGAGGGCTGCCATGCATGGCATACTTATCTATAAGGAAATCACCTTAAATTCAGCTTCTTGTCATCCAGAGGCTACACACACCCCCTGGCCCAGCTCATAAAGGAAGGGATGAAGCATGGGAATGCTAAGGAAGGACATGCCCAGGCCACAGTCCAGCTCCTGGCAGGACTGGAACCAGACCCACACCCGCACATGGCTGAGCCCAGACTCCTGGTGCTTTGGGGCGGTACCTGAGGACCTCGGGCCTCACCTGGCTGGCCTGGGGCCCCGGGGTTTCCTGGGAAGCCCATCTGTCCTTTGTCACCAATGGGGCCAATCGGGCCGAAGCCTGGAGGCCCCGGAGGGCCGATGTCGCCACGGCTCCCGGGGAATCCGACGCCTCCTGGGGGGCCACGCTCCCCTTTCAATCCTACTGAACCCTGGAGTGAGAAAGAGAGCATTATCAGCAGACATACCAGCGCTCCGACCCAGCGCACATTTCCCAGCATCCGCAGTAAATGAGTGACCAGGCTCTAACGTTGCTGGGCTACTTATTCACCTCGACCCGTCAGCAAAGGTCAACCTGCAGTTAATCAACGAAACCAGCATTCTTCCATCTCAGCAGAGAAATCGCCCTGCCTGCTTCCCCCCAGGCCAGGGCACACTCGACAGAGGAAAGCATTGATCTCTGGAATCCTCTCTGAAAGGGTGACATGAGCGCCATTAACTTGAAACTTCACCTCCCATCCAGCAGGTGGGTGCCTTTTCAGTTCCCCCAGACCCATCAGAAGACAGTGACCCCCTTATCATCTCGTTGTTCAAGGCAAGGTCCTCAGCTCCTGGGTTTACAGACCACAGCTTCCCCAGGGGAAGAGAGACAAGTCTGTCCATGACATCGACCACCCCCCCGCCAGTGGACACAGGCAGTTATGATACGAATAACTCGTTTATCTGCGTATCCATCCGTCAAGCACTCGTTCAGAGTCTGGGAATCCACCTACCGGGGAGCCTTTGGGGCCGGGCAGACCCGGGTGGCCGTCTCTTCCGGGAGATCCCGCTCTGCCTGGCATGCCGGGCTGGCCTGGGAAGCCGGGGTCTCCTTTGTCGCCCTTGAGCCGTATGTCGAAGTAGATCTCGCCGGGCTCCCCCTTGGCTCCCGGCTGGCCCATGAGCCCCGGCGAACCTTGCGGACCCTGCAAGAACAAAACCTTATGATGCCCCCAGCAAAGACGCTCTTCCGGAGAGCAGAGCAGAGCCAGCAAGGGGTCAGGACGCCTGGGAAAGTGGAAACGGGCGCAGTTTCCTCGTTCCCTGTCTGGGAGCCAGCCAGCAGCTCTGTGACCAAGCCCTGAGCTGACCTCCCTGCCGCGTGGCCCTGTAAAAGCCTTTGCTAGGATCGCCAGCGGGGACACAAAACAGCAGCTGTCCCCAGCCCGTGGGCCAGTCCCCGGTGCCTTCCTGCCTTTCACAACTGCTCACATTGCCCAGAACAGGTTAGCTCTGCCTGGCAGGCGTTGGATTGCGACTCCCTGGGCCCAGGAGCTGGAGCCGGAGCTGGGAGCAGCCATGTTCTCCAAGTCTGGCCAGCGCTGAAAGCACACAGGTTCCCTTCCACGCTCACGGCCCTAATTCCGGAAGTGATGAGAAGGTGCAGGGCACCTGGGCAGAGGAGACGCCCAGGGCGAGCACCCGGCCAGCTCCGTAACCGTGATGCTGAGCCGTCAACGGAACAGGAGTGAGATTCCCACGAGACTATCTCTCAACTCCTGGAAGGCAGGATCCTCAAAGGATGCCCACACCCCTAGAAGGCGCCTCCTCCAGCCTCCCGAGCGGAGGGAAGCGCCAGGACTTCCAACGACTGTTCACTGAGCTCTCTCTGAGAGGAGTCCCTGCTCACTAGGCAGGATTCACGTGGTTTGAGCCCCTTTCCCTTTGAAATGGTTTTTGGATGTCTGTGAACCACACGCGTGCACACACACACATGCATGCACACACCTCTGTCTATGTGTAACCTGTGCTCCTCAATGGAGGGAGCCGGAGGGGAGAGACACCCAAATCCACACAACCTTTAGACTCCAACACGGCTCCCATTCCCCACACGCCTGCAAGGCATCCCATCCTGGGGCAGCCCTGACTCTTAACCCGACTCCACAGGGAAACAGTGGGAACGGCCGCTCGGCAGATGAGGAGCTAATATTCAGAGAGGGATTCGTGCAGGACCGCACGCCAGAAAGTGCTGACTTCCCGCCGCAGAGCCCGTCCTGGATCCCCACCACACCCCGTGGGCCCCGTGGAGTTGGGTGTTACCAGGAAAGCCCGCTTCGGGCACAGACATGGGGGCTCGGCTCGGAGGGGTTCGGGGGCTGGCGCACTCGGGAGGCGTTGCTGTGGGGCTGACACGTGTCTGCTCATCTGGCCTCCGAGGAGTCAGAACGGTTGCAGCTAAGTTGTGGGGCGGCTGCTCCATCCAGGCGGGCAGCTACCCCTTCTCAGAGATGCGGCCGAAGCCAGCCAGGGCTCTTCCAGAAGCCAGGAGAGGGGGCCACAAGGCTGCTCTGCACACTACTATTTAAAAACCTAACATAGAACCTCAGTTCCTTAATCCCACGGCCACACGTCAAGGACTCAGTAGCCACCACCGGCCAGGGGTGCCCACACTGGATGGTGCTGACCGAAGACGGTCTATCCTGGCAGAAAGCGCCGCTGGACAGACACTGCTGGTCGGAGCTGGCCCTGGGCCGGAAGGGCCCCTGGGAGCTGAGCACGCTTCACTCAGCCCTCCTGGGGGATCAGGGAAGATGCTCAGCCTACATGTGCTGGTCCCCGCAGGGGCCACACAGTATTTCCACCAGCCCCCCGCTGGGAAGGTCAGCAGGGGTCAGGGAAGTCATTACTTGGTTGAAAGCTGCTGTGGTATTTTGTAGCTTTTTTCTGTCCGAGTTAATATTAGCTCCCACGCATCGTTCAGCTCAGTGCAGTTCAGTCTCTCAGTCGTGTCCGACTCTTTGCGACCCCATGGGCTGCAGCACGCCAGGCCTCCCTGTCCATCAGCAACTCCGGGAGCCTACACAAACTCATGTCCATTGAGTCGGTGAGGACGCCCGGCTAAACTCAGAAACCTCTTCAGACAGACCAAGGAGCTCTGTCCCGTTACCACGAGGCAGCCTGGGGTCCTCCCTGCTCTCAGGGACATTCACTGTCTGCTCACCTCTCCACTAGCTTTCAGGGCTTTGAGGGCAAGACCAAGGCTTTCTGTCTTGTCTCCGTGTGTCTGTCTCCAAGAGGGAGATGCTGGAGGAAGGACATGCTGAACCGGCGACTTCCATCAATAAAAAATAAATGCCAGGGTAAGGAATGACAGCCAGTGCTGCTGCTGCTAAGTCACGTCAGTCGTGTCCGACTCTGTGTGACCCCCATAGACGGCAGCCCACCAGGCTTCCATCCCTGGGATTCTCCAGGCAAGAACACTGGAGTGGGCTGCCATTTCCCTCTCCAACCAGTGCAGACCTTCTCAAAACAGAAGCACCCTCTCATGTTATGTTATGTCAATGATTCACAGCTTAGAAATACAGTGCTTTCTAAGACTATGAGCACAGGATGGGAAAAATACAATTTTTTTTTTTCCCCATACCGATGACCTTGTCAGGCATTAAGGGAGAAATCCAGAGTTTCTTTGAAAAGTGACATTTATAACCCAGGGACATCTCATGTAGTTTCTCTGCCACAGACCTTCTTAATCCTAAATGATTTAAAGGTCTTTTGATTCTTATCCCTTAAGATAAATACTGAAGAATCAAATGCTGCCTTGGCAGTTCACATCGGCTGCACCAACTGCAGAAGATCTGAAGACTTGCAGTCTTCTTCCAAAAAGTGGGCCACCGTGGGAAAATTCAGGAGACGTTCCATCTGACCAACGCGGGTCATTCCCAGTGACCCCGAACCTGCTGGGGGCTGGGCTTCAGCAGCTCAGCATGGACCCTGCTCCCCAAAATCAAACTCTCGGCCTTCAGAGTCCATGTCACAGAAACGCTACCCAAGTCAAGTGCAGGACCAGAGGGGTTTTCACTAGAATCTACTTTCCAGTTTGCTCTCCTGGTCTGCAGAGCCTCCTTCAGCCTCCAGCCAAATTCGAAATAAGGGGACCACATTTTTGAGCTCGTTTAACCATGGAGCTGTGACACTGCACCTAACAAAAGGAAAGCCATTATCGTCTCAAGTTATTTACCCATAGAACAGTTTTTACAAGTGTTTTCCTTCTACACCAAGAAAGGAGCTCTGACGGAGAAGGTACCAGGATTTGCTTTTTGCTATACATTTTCTGCATTTTTTCTTTATCATGACTTCTCCTCAACCATCCCCCTTCATTTTTTTTCTCATTTTTATTGGGTCTGGGGCTGGATCTAGGGGCGGGTGTCTGAACTAGGTTCCAGGCAGATTCGAAGCAGGAAGTCTTTATTCCAGAAAGGCCAAAGAGATAAAGACCATGTCCAGACTCTGTCTGTGGCCTTCAAAGTGGTCCCGACTTTGATCCCCACCACAGTCAGCATTCCCAGCTTTGTGAACTTACAACTTATTTAGAAATATTTTAAACAATTGCAACTTCTAACTCAGCTCCCCAGGCACCGGGGAAGTTCTGGAGAGCAGAGGCCCATGATCTGACTTCAAAAGGAGAAAACCATTGAATTCCAGTTGTTTCATTCCTATTTCAACTCACTCTTGGCCTGGCCCACTCTTATAGAACTTTCCAGAAATATCTTTTTAAACTACAAATGTAATTTGTGCACCAAAAAAAGAATAATGCTAAAGATTTGATGTTCAATTTAGCACAAAAGAGAAATGAAAAGAAAAAAGGAATGAAAGAAATTGGAGAAGCTGGTTAATGCTTACTGAACTTAGAAGAACAAAGACGATATGAGAACAAAGTCCAAAGGTCTAAAAGCTTTAGCAGTGAAGCTGATTACATGCACAAAAGTCACGTCCTTCAATATTTAAGATCATTAGTACAATTTCCTATTCAATGACTCCTTTTAAAACAAAGTAGAAAGGTTAAGAAACTGATGTTCTGTTTAAACTGAAAGGTTTCACATCTGGGATTGAGATATTGCCTTTTACAGGTCTGAAAAAGCATCTTTATAATAGATGCTGGTGATAGGAATTTTCAAAATCTATCTCTGTAATAATGAGAATAAAAGAATAGCTCAGATTTCTAGAGGAAAGCAGGTCAGCTTGCCTCCATCCCCATAGAAACCATTGCTGAACTTATTCACTGAGGAGTTCTAGGTTATCTGGTGCAGGATGGATGGTCATGCAGAAAGACAGTGGCTCACCCGAGCAGCTTCTGCAGTGACCCTCGGTGGCACCATTGGCTGCAGGAGCCCCCAGAGGCCCCGTGGGAAAGTGCCCACCAGCGCTGAGCTGCCCCTGGACACAGGTTAAGTGGCAGCTGAATTCTGACCAGGTGAGAAGACCCGCAAGTTGGGATGAGGGTTCTGGACTCACTGCTTCAGCCCATGCCCAGCTCAGTGAGGGAGGACAAGGGGAGTCATTCTAACTGCTCCACAAAGCAATCCTTTACTGGCTCCCAAATAAAGCAGGAGTCCACTTGCAGATGCAAAAAGATACGCCTCTGCGGGTATGCTCAGTGGCAACTTCTAACACACAGGAACTCAGACTGGATTACTCACAGGCACTCCTTCCAGACCATCCCTGCCGGGCAAGCCTCTGTCACCCTTGGCCCCTGGCTGTCCTGGGAAACCTTTTGTGAGAGATGGAGGGAAAATTCAGCACATTGTTAAGACACTTTCTAACAGCTCAAAATACTTCCTTTTTCTTCAAGATTCAAAAGCGCAAAGATTTTCATACAAAGTGGATGATGTTTAAAGAATCTCAAGAGAGTAATGACAAAAAAAAAAAAGCCCCAAATGGGCTCAGAAGCCGGGAAGTGACCTTGAAACCCTGACTCTGGATGGCTACAAATCCCTGCCCACCCACCCAGGGACCACTTCCACCAAAGCAGGGTGTGACCTCCTCGGAGACGAGGAAGTTTTCAGAGCTGTGCGAACCACCTGCTGCTACCCTTTCACTAGGAAACCTCTCTGACACTGCATTTGTAGGCCGGCTTGATCATTTTCAACAAAATGGACAAATCCCAGAAGGGCAGATCCACTTGTCACCTCTCTCTTGAGCGCTCCTGCAGACCATCAGGTCAGGCAGCAAGATGCACTTCAGGCAGCAAGATGCGAAGGTTCCAGCCCACTGAAGCAAATCCTAACCTGGTCCCTTTCACACTGGGGGTCTTACCTATTTCTCCGGGGGGTCCCTGTGGCCCTGGGGGCCCACGAAGCTCTGTTGTGTCACAGACGAGGCAACTGTCTCCTTTTTGACCTAAAAAAGGAGACACGGGGTATTACGCAGAACGAGGGAGTAGAAGGCCCGGCAGCACAGTGGCAGCGCAGGAGAGGCACCGCCCGCCCAGCGCCCGCTCCAGACGCATCCAGCTGCCAGTGGCCATGGGTCCTGACATGGGGCCTGCCCTCTGCCCTCAGCACAGTCATAGGTGACCACGGGGACCCTTCTAAGGAGCCCCATTCTTCTGTTCTGCAGAGGGACAGGCCCTGCCTCAATCCACAGTGATCCAGAACGCCATTCTGCTCATCAGCCTGAGATGACACGATTGCATCCTTCTGTCTCTTAATTCTGGAACCCGCCAGCATCTTTCTCTTTGACTTAGCATTTCTTAGCCAAGTGCCCCTCTAGCTCCGGGACTTTGAACCCGTGTTCCAGGCTGACAGATGACACAGGGGAGTAAAAACGCACAAAAAGCAAGACATGACCTGACACGGAAGATGGATGATGAGAGGAACCCCAGAACTACAAGATGGGAGGACACGCCTTTCTTTGGAAATGCGAATCTCTTGCATCTCAATTTTCAAACTATGCTAAAAGGCCTTTGGGATGTCTTAGTGTCTTCATCCTAAACTTTGAATGTATCTGGTGTTCTGCAACGTACATGGTTGTCAAAATGCTAAGACATTTTCCAGGCATTTGCATTTTAAACTTCTGAAGAGTGCAAATTCTCTGCAATCTAAAGCCAGACATGGGACCCAGAGGGATCAGTCTTGTGGGGGCCACCCTCTCTTTGGTCTGGGCATTAAGAGCCGTACTGTATAAACACCAGAACATCCTTGGTTTAGTCCATACTAAGACAGGCCTGTCTGTACAGAGATGAGCCATCATTCCCAAGATTGTGAGGGGATTATGCTGAGTCCTGGACCCTTGAAAAGGTTAAGATAAAACTAAGAGCCCTGGGTGGAGCTGGCCGACCCAGGAACCCAGAGCTGCTCACACTGATTAAGGGAACTGAGTCTGAGGGGCGTGAACATCCTGTGTGCATGCTTGTGATCAGGCTGAGGCTGGAAAGATGCGCATTCCTGGAGAACAGAATCTCGGACTTTGAACCAAAGGACCGCATGGAGATGTCAATCTGGGAATCTAATCTGCTGACCACAGGGAGGGACGCTGACTTCAAGGCCCCCCATTGCCTCCCCGGTGATAACTGTCTCTCCAGCACCCAGTAATCTTAGCAGGGCCGTCGGGAGGCGCATCTTAGGAAGGGACTCTGAAGAGAGCTTCAAATGAAGAATGTACCCACGTCCGCCCAAAGCCGGTACGCATGAAGGAATGTATCACACGCCCAAGCACAATCACCCTGTCTTGAACAATTAAACCTCTCACCTTTTTCTCCAACTTCGCCCGTCAACCCCGGCTGCCCTGGAATTCCGGGGGGACCCTGATCACCTGGCGGCCCGGGCTGGCATTCCACGATTCCGTCTGAAATGGATTTTTAACAGTTACAGGATCACTCCCACCAAGCTGAGCAAGGCGTTTTCACCCGCTCTTAATCCAATCTCCATTACAAAACCAAACTACGTTCACGCTATCTGACAAGTACTGGAAATCCCGCTGTGACCTGCTTCGACACAGTCCCAGTACATTAACTTGTAAAATCAGCATGCAGAGTGTCCATCCACTCCCCGTCACAAGCCGTCACCGCTGAAGTTTCTACTTTACGGTTCTAACATGTATTTCAGCTCTTGAGCCCCGTCCTGAACCTTATTTCATATTATCTTGCAAAGTACACACCATTATCCTTACAGATTCAGAAACGGAGGGTCAAAGAGTGATGGTCTGTCCGTGTCCTACATCTGTGAGGTCAACAGGGACACCTGAGCCTTTATGCCTTTTTTTTTCCTGCTGAGCAGACTCGCAGCGAAGTGCTCATTATTTCAGAGGGGCAGACTGCCCGTGGGAAAACACCCCTAATTGTTCCGATTCAATCCTGAGCATCACTGGCGTGAAGAAGCATGAACGTGAAATGCGGTGACACAAACGCCATCTGTTGTGGGTTCCAGTAAAAAACAGTATTGCTTCTGAACACACACAATGACAGAGTTAGCACTTCCTTCTCTGGCATCTTTGAAGGAAAAGGACAGAGCGAGCAATTAAACTCGGGGCTGCACCGGTCCCTCGTCACGGCTGAAGCCCGGACATCCACGGCTGCAGCTCCTGCGTCTGCAGCCCACACACCAGCTCCGTCTGTGCAAAACTCTCATTTAGGAATCACCGCTTAACACACTGTGATGTGCACCACCTAATCTGCACACCCAGAAAAGGGCAACTGGGAAACCGAGAGGGTAAATACTACAATGTATTAAACCCCCACACCCTGCACGGTTCTCAGCACCCAGAAGTTCAAGTCTTTCCGTGACAGGTGTTCACATTTCAGAACTGGCAGATTATTAAGAAAAGGCTCAAGATTTCTCCACGGCTGGCTCTCTCACCAGCCTCTTTGCCGATCACTCGATTTAAAACTACACCCCATGGCCCGCCTGCCCGCACCCCGACCTCTGTCTTGCCCTCCTGACTTCGTCTCCTCCTGAGTCTATAGCCCTGGCTGCCACCCCACCAGCTACTGATTTACTTGGTCTCTGTCTCGTGGTTCACAGCCCAGGAGGTCAGGACCGTTTCATGGGGTCAGGACCGTTTCGTGGGCTCTGTCACAGGTCTCAGGGCGGCGCCTGGCATCGTAGGCACGCCGATGCTTGTTGAATGAGCAAGTGACCAAGGAATGAGTGAATGAGCACCCAAAGGCCCTTCTGATGCCCACAGGCTTCTCTCAGAAATGCAAAGAAACGTGCCTTTGTGCTGTGTGCCTCTAGAACTTCGCTATTTGATCTTCATTCTCCACGTTTCATATCAGAAGGGGCGGGAGTCCCCGTGAAGTCACAATGGATGCACTGTCGACCCATTAACAAGGAAACACGCGCCTCTGGGCTCCCAGTGAGGCTGCCCGTCTGGAGGCACTCGTGCCGTCCAGAGCATATCTGGCCTCCGCTCGGAGCTTCATCCACGAGAAGTCCTTCCGTGGAGCTGGGTCTGCTCTCTCGGAGTCAACCATGGGCACCTCCGGGAGCCCCTTCCAGCAGCCTGAGGAGCCACGCTGCAGTCGCTCTGCTGGGCACAGGCTGGATGGAGTCAGCTCGGTGCACTGGGCCATTAGCTCAAGTCCCCTCGAAGGTTCTGACACTCTGCACAAGCTGGATGGAGTCTCGGCTCAGCCCCTGGGGCCATGAGCTCAAGTCCTCTCGAAGGTTCTGACACTCTGCATAGACTGGAGTGTAGACCCAGCCCCCTGGGCCATGAGCTCAAGTCCTCTTGAAGGTTCTGACACTCTGCATAGACTGGAGTGTAGACCCAGCCCCCTGGGCCGTAAGCTCAAGTCCCCTTGAAGGTTCTGACACTGCATAGACTGGAGTGTAGACCCAGCCCCCTGGGCCGTGAGCTCAGGTCCTCTCAGAGGTTCTGACGCTCTGCACTGGGGCTACTTTGGAGCCACAGAACACCTTCACTGAGTCAACAGGTTCGTGCTCTGTGCTCAGCTTTGATCGTGGACAGATGAGAAAAACCCCAGTAAACTACCGTTCGGATTTGAAGCCACTTGCCACGTTACCCCTCAGACAGAGCAGCCCCATCTCATTGTGTGTGTGTGTGTTAGTACCAGCTTGTGTCTCTAGATGAACATGCCAGTCCCAGTAAGAACGCTGTAACTCAAGCAGCCTGCTCTCTACCTTCAGACGCTGGCTAAGCCGGCTCTTGCTCCTCCCAGCCAGGTTCATTAGTTTATGTGCAGCATCCTTTCTGAGGTGACTAACTTGGCAAAGACACCCACGTGAGACGCAGATAATCCGTAAGTCGCGAGACACCCAGTCTCTGGCTTGGCATGTGAACGCGGGCACCCTCCCAGCCCCACTGAGCTCTGCCCGCACCTGTCCTGGATGGGACGCCATGCAGGATGCGCCCAGAAGGTACTCACTTGTGTGGCCCGGCTGCCCGGGGGGCCCGGGGGGGCCAGGGGGGCCGGGAAGCCCGTCCCTTCCACTGGGTCCCGGCAGCGACACGCCTGGCAAGCCCGGTTCACCCTTCTCTCCTCTGTCGCCAGGGAAGCCGGGGGCACCGATCAACCCCGGAGTCGGGAAGCCTGGAAGCAGAGGAGACCCCCACGGTCACAAGACGACAGCAAGTCTCAGGATAGCATCACTGGCTCCCTTCGCCGTTCTCGGGAGAACGAGCAGCAGACCACTGCTGAGCGCGGGCTGCTCTAACAGTGAGAAGCGGCACCAGCTTGTCGCACGTACATGCAGCTGGGCCAGGGCTCCCTGCGAAGTCCCTGCGAGGCGCAGGGGCTCACTGTGCAGGTTCTCACATCCGTGCACCCCCAGCAGGTCAGACAGAGGACGCTCCCCATCTGCTCAGAGAGGAAAGGCACAGAAACGCCGCTCAGCAGAGCAGACGTGGTCAGCACGCAGAGCGGGTGGGAACTGGGCCAGAACCAGCTGAGAAGGAGTCAGGACGAGGAGGCGGCCCTGGGCAAGAGCGTGATGCCGAGGTGGCGGGCGGAGCGAGTGCGGGCAGGCAAGCTTGGCCCCCCTGAGTTTTGTGGGGACAAGATCGCAGGGGCCTGTGACAGCCCAGGGGAGTCTGGATGAAGCGCTCGGGACCCAGCGGTCCAGGCGGCCGTGGGGAAGCGACTGCGGCTCCGGAGAGTGAACAGCCAGCCTCCGAGAGGGGCCAGGGGAGGTAACCCTGAAGAGCTGGCCCAGGCAAGAGCTCCGAGGAAGGACGGCTGGACCCAGACCCCAGCCGTGAACCTGAGCCCCAGTGAGCCGCAGGAGGCAGGGAGGCTGGCAGGGAGGCCAGGGCCTCCACAGTCAGCAGAGGGCAGGTGGGGCCGCCTGAAAACAGACAAGGCCAGAGCAGCTTCAAAGATGGTTTCTAAAAATCACAGCTTAAGATGCTAATGGGGTCAGATAAGAGGCCTGAGAAAGTAGATTTGGCAAGGGAGACAGGAAGTGACCTGTTTGCTAGAACACCCGGGAGGTCCAGTAAGCTTTCCGACCAAGAAGACGGGGTGGGAAAGATGGACAAGGATGATCTAAGGGTAGATGCCCACATTTTAGCAGCAAAAAGGTATGCAGGGCACTGAAGCCAGCCTTCTTCAACAGTGCGGATGGTTGGGGGGTGGGGGTGTCTGTTCCCGTAAAAATAATGGAAGGGGCTCTGGGAGAACTCTCAACTTAAGGACTGTCAGGAAGGGAAGAATAAAATAACAAAGAACAGTAAGAATTAAAAATAAAGAACAACCAACCAAAACCTCAGTAAGAGTGCCAGCGCTCCGTGTGGGGTCAGTTCCGGGGCACACGGGCTCCCTGCTGAGCACCCATCACCTCCGTTCCCTGAGATGCACGCAGTCCACACAGACAGGCCTCTGCACCCCAGGAAGTGCAGCCCCCAGCCTCCCGGTGACTCGGCCGTGAGAAACGCAAAACTAGCACGGACTTAGCATAAGCTCCGTGACGCAGTGATCTCCCAAGAAGCAAGATTAAGGTTGATTAGATTAGCTAGGAGAGGTTTCAGCTTTGAGTCCAGTCTCAAGCTGAGGCATTCCAGACAGATGGCAAGGGCAAGCGAGGATGCCTGGTGGTGGGGTGGGGGCGGGGGCGGGGTGGTCTTCAGAAAGGCGACCATACCTCCGGGAGCAGTGGAAAGGCAGGCTGTTAAGTCAGAGCCAGGGAGAGAGGAAATACATGTGTCGAAGTACCTGCTAACATGCAATTTACAAAGCAGACACTGACTCAGCAGCACATCTTGTTTTCAGAGCTAGAAAAATGTACAACAAAATTGCTAGCCATTTTATGCAAGTATCTAACCAACGCAGAGGATAGACAGCGTTCAGAATAGAAACAGCATAGAAAGCATACAAATACTCAAAAAGTCAGCTGAGGATGCTCACCTGGAGGGCCTGGCTGGCCTGGTATTCCCGGGAAACCTACAAGGAGGCAGAGAGATGGACGAACTGAGCCTGGTTCACTCGAGGTTTGAGATGTGAATCTCTGTGCTGTGGTCACCCGAGGTCCAGGGAGCAGGGAGGGGGGAGGGGGAGGGAAGAAGGAGGAAAGGACCTCACCTTTGGGACCTGTCTCCCCTTTCGCCCCTGGACCCCCTGGGTACCCAGGCTCTCCTTTCTCTCCCAAGGGTCCTGTGCCAATAACCTGAATTACAGAGGAAAAGATCATCACACAGCACGGCAGGGGCTGGGGGTGTACATTATAGCACAGACAAAGAAACACACAGTTTTTATTATTTCAAGACGTGTGAAAGCAGAGAAGCAGCCGTGGGAGAAGAGGAGGCGGGGGTGGGGGGGTACGGAAAACAGGACCACCGCTCTCCCTGCAGTGAGCTCTGCCAGGCAGTTCTGCTTCCTTTCATAATAATCTGCTTGGCAGAGGCTTCACCACTGCAGGCAAGTTAGAAATATATGAATTCTGAGGTTCAGGTAAGGAATATCGCAATGCTCTCACAAGCTGCAAGAAGAACAGACTTCTTAGAAGAGTATTATCAGAAAAGTTGCCTAAAATTTCCTCAGGACTTATGCAACAGGAACACTCAATTTTTTTTTTTAATTGTAAGAGGTCAGAAGTGGGGACTTTTTTAAGGCCCTTGGAATATGACACAGGAAAAAGGCTCTCTGAGCCTCAATAAATAGGAGGAACCAGTTCACCCCAATTCTGAGTTGCCGAAATTCAAGGACAGGGTACATACTACCCTTCAGATACAGTTCCTCTGGAGCAATTGATGATCTGTTTCTCTGATTATCTTTTTCCTTACCGGACCTTTTAAGTTTCCACATGTGTTGCTAATATTGTTATCCATGTGCAACTCCTTTCACTTTAGTCGTCACAGATAGGCAGAAAGTGTCCAAGGATGATAATGAGTAAATACCAAACACCACATGATACAAAACACAAATTATCAGTTCAAATTACATGCACCCCCTACGTCAGCATCCTTCTAGGAAGGCCGTGGAGCATGTGGCCGAGGTGACAGGTCAGCCCATCTCTCTTTCCCTCTTTTCAAACCACTTCACAGATAGCAAATGCCACTGGTACTCACAGTTCCAGGCAGCCCGGGAGGACCTGCTTCACCTTTCTGTCCCTGAAAGAGAAAAACAACTTCACTCGTATTTTTTTTTAATTATAATGGTTGCCTGAAAATTTAGTCTAACCCACTGGACCACTAGGGAAGTCCTACACAGTAGTTTTTAAAAAAATAAAAAATAAGTGAAATAAAATGATATGAAAGCTTAGGGTGGCTAAGTGTATTTTCTTAAAGAAATCATTTTAGTTGAGGATTTTAGGTGTAAGACTGTCTAAACCTGCATTGGAAGTCATAATAAAAGGATACTTGTGTTTTTCCTTTCCTCTTAAGATCCAGCATGACTTGAAAACATCGGGTGGATAAATTCTTATCACTCTGAGGCTTAATTGAACATATATTAGATGAAAAACTCAAGAACTAAATCCTTTTCTATCTAATGTTCTTATGTAAGAATTACAATAATACTTTTAACAGTCCTAAGATATGCAAGGTATTTCATGAAAGCATATTTTTCACTTACTTTTTTTTTTTTTCATTTTTTTTCCTTCTAAGCTAAGGCTTTAAACTTGTGTTAAACCAGAAGTAGCATGCTTTGAGTTTTCTTATTTGAATACAAGAAGAGATTTTAGATATATCTATGGGACTTTAAAAAACTCTCAGCTAATATATTCTAAACAAATTTACCTTTTACAGCCTACAAGAATTGCCTTTCTCATAAAGTTACAGCCTTAGAGAAAGACTTCTCCCTTTGTCACGGGCTTTGCTAAGCACACCCTGAGGTTCTCTCCCTACTGTTAAAGATGAATATTTCCAATCCATTTCTTATTTTAGTGGAGATCCACATTACTTAGTCTCATGATTCAAAGAGAAAAATAAACCCACACAAAAATAAATAAATAAATAAAACCACAGTTTTTCCCAAGTATCAGATTGGGAAGTGTTTAAGCCCAATAACAAACAGATGTCAGATGGAAGGGTCCCCGGCTGATGAAGCATTCTTTCTTCTGAGGGCAATTTTATCACATGTGGCAAAAGCTTCCCCAGAAATGGGTCTAAACATTAACTCCAAAATTATACATTTTAGGAATTTATGGTGGGAAATGATCAGACAAGTGGATAAAAATACTTAAAATCAGAAAAATATGGAAAAGATCCAAATATCATGCAGAAAAAGGCACGAGCATCCCAAGTGCTGATGTGTAACCACATTTACAATGCTGGAATATATCCTCACTACATCATCAAGGGGAAAAGTCAGCTAAATCATGCAGTCCCATTTTGTAAAAGCTCATGTATATGTGCATACATGGGATAATTAGGAATTCTGACCATTTCTGAGCGAATCATAGAAAAATTACACAAGTTTTCTTTTCTATATCTTCCTGCATTTTCTTTGTTTCATAATTGGGGAAAATTAATCTACTCCAAAAAAAACCACATTAAAAACTTGAATGAGTGGAACATTTTTCTTTAAAAACATATGCACACAAATAGAACCACTGAGTTGTGCTTTTCCTCACACGGAACATACATAATTTCTATTCTTTGAGTGCATGGTCCTTTATTCTAGGAAGAACTTTTAGGCTGAGCAAAATACAGGCAAAAAACAAAAAGAAAGTAGGGTCGCCATTCACCTTTAAACCCTCTCGACCTGGCTGTCCTGGGTATCCCGAATCGCCTGGAAACCCCTAGAATGGGACAGAAAGCAACAACAGTTACAAGCGAGTAAGAGCGACAGCTTGCTTTTTAAAAATCTCGGAGAAATACTCACTGGACTCCCTTTTTCTCCTTTTTCACCATCTTTTCCTGGTTTTCCCTGTACAAAAAAAATTTAAATATTAGTAGTGCACAAATAACAGTGATAGCTATGCTCTAACACCACGGGTTTGAATCAAATACAAGTTATTACACTGTATGGATCCTCTGGGTGGGCTGGCCACGCTACAGTAATACGTCAGGGAAGATACATTAAATCACTATGAGCCGAAAGGGCTACGGCAATAGAAGACTCAGCAATGTTTAACAACTGGAGGGTGATTCTCTCCAAGTCTCCTGTGACATCATGACACCCAGCGGCAGAGCTGACACCAGGGAAGTTTTCCGATTGGCGAGCGGGTGTTTGGCAGCTGATACACCGCTGCTTCACCTTCACAGAGGTTTCCACGCGTCGTTTCAGGGAAGAAGCTGAACTCTCTCAGCTGTTGGAGGAGGTGGGTCTCCTGTCACCGGAGTCGAGGCGTGGGAAGCGTCTGAGCACTGGGCACCCAGATGCTCTGAGCAGGTGGACAGGTGGCTTTTGGTGAGGGGCCAGTCGAGACGGGGGTGATGGAGCGGATGTGCTGTCTTGGCGGGAGAGGGGGCAGTCCTCTGAATAAGCCTCAGCTCCGTCCATGGGATTCTCCAGGCAGGAATACTGGAGCGGGTTGCCGCTGCCTCCTCCAGGGGATCTCCTGACCCAGGGATGGAAGCCATGTCTCCTGCATGGCCGGTGGCCTCTCCACCCCCGTGTCAGCGGGGAGACACCCTCTAATGCTGACTCCCTCCTTACTCCTGCTCCCAGGGCTTCAGAAAGCCCCCTGCAGGGCCCTTGGAGTCTATGCTCCTGTGACCCTGCGATCCTGGGAATGGGGGAGAAATGATTTCACACCAGGAAGGAGAGGACTTCAGAAGCACTTACGCGGGGCCCTGGTTTTCCAGGTTCTCCTTTCTCTCCAATGCCTGGCATCCCCTTAACAGAAAAAAAAACAGAAAGGGTGAGATTCGTTCGTACATTTAAATAAACTACTAAATTAAGTAAATGTTACAAGGAAGGTGAAATAAGCTTGTAACCTAAATCCAATACATGATGGTCTTTCACACAAAATAATAATGATAAATAAGACTTTAGTGCTTACCTGAAATCCGGGTTCACCTTTTTGACCCTAAAATAAGTTATAAAAGAAAAGATGAGTACTGTGTAGTGGTTACATGGAACAGGTACAAGGAAAAACACAGCTTTTCCTGTTCCAGTAACCAAGAAATTCACACTGGTCTGGAGCATTCACTTCCTGCCAGTGACTGGGTGATGGACGTAAGGACGGCGTAGTGAGCACGCCTGGCCCACGAGCCTGGACCCGAACCTCCCCCATCCTCAGCTGGCTCCCCCTGCAGCCCCGGCCGCCCCCGCCGCGTGACCCTCGCATGGGAGGTCAGCCTCAAGCCGGTCTAGCTGCAACCCGGAGCAGCTGTCCCTGCTCTCAAGAGGCTCACTTCTCATACGGTGGGGGGTCCACACCCCTGTCTTCCAGGTCAGGGTGAACAGAACCGGAGAAACCGAACTCTGACCCAGCCTGCCTCTATCCCTTCGAAACGGTTCAGGATTAGGAAGGCAGCGCTCACTGGACACAGTCCGCCCCTACCTTCTCGCCCCGCATGGCCGTGTCTCCTTTCGTGATGACTTGAGCCTGTCCTGGTAATCCTGGGGGCCCGCTCACCCCTTGATCACCCTGATGAGGCAAAAATTGGGGGTTAATTGGACATAAAAATAATTATACCGGCAGGAGAAAGGCCGAAGGGGGAAACACCAAGAATAGAACTGTTTAACACATGTGACTGTGTTCTGTTGCAGCCTGTCCTTGCCTCAGCAGAAAATGAAGTTTCCGAGGGAACACGACCCACCAAGGATAGAAAGCCAGGAGAAGGCTGTCCCGCCCCGTGGTCAGGGCGGCCGTCACCCCGTAATGACGGAACTTGAACGCCCGGAGGACACAGGGATGTGTGCACACGTACACAGACCTTGCATCACGACAAACAGCACGTGTAATACACACGGGCACACGTAAGCTGGCCTGCCACATTTGATGGCGTGGAGGAAAGGACCCCAGCTGCCTTGCGGTGCCTAGAGGGAAAGCTCTCTTTGTGTAAACCAACACGGAGAGAAGCGTCAGGGATTCCTTCCTGGAGGCCCCACTGCTGGAAGCGGGAAGTACTGAAATCTCAGCACCACGCAGCGACCGAGGCCCAAAGACCTCCACCACGTCCGCCGCGGAACCCCTTCCCTCTGAGGTTTACAAAAACATGGGGTGGAAACCTGGGGTGAGGAGAGGAGGCCCGCGGCCGCCCACTCCACGAGGCCATCGTCAGCACTGGCTTGGGAACCACGCGCTGCCACAATCCCAGCCCCCCGTGCTCGGAGCGCGTTTCACCAGCCGGGTCCAGGCGAAGTGGCGGAGGCACCCCCAGAGCATCAGGGGCCCAGGGCCGGCCTCGCTCTCGCCGGGATGAGGCTGCCTGTGCCAGGCTGTGCCTCCTGGCCTCCCAGGCCCTTTCCCTCCCAACTTGGGCACAGTGGCCTCATCCCGGAGCGTTCGATATGGCTGTGCCACTAACAGCCATGTCCTACGTTTGACACTTTGAGGGTGAAGCCCAGCTCGGGCTTTGTCACTGCCTGAGGACATTGTGATCGACCGCTGTCAACAGACAGGAGCACTTGTCTCATGCACCCAACCTGGGCTGGCGATCCGTCTCACCCTAGATAATATACATGTTTCAATGCTGTTCTCTTGAAACAACCCACCCTCGCCTCCTCCCACAGAGTCCACAAGTCTGTTCTATACATCTGAGTCTCTTTTTCTGTTTTGCATATAGGGTTATCGTTACCGTCTTTCTAAATCCCATATATATGTGTTAGTATACTGTAATGGTCTTTATCTTTCTGGCTTACTTTGCTCTGTATAATGGGCTCCAGTTTCATCCATCTCATTAGAACTGATTCAAATGAATTCTTTTTAATGGCTGAGTAATATTCCATGGTGTATATGTACCACAGCTTCCTCATCCATTCGTCTGCTGATGGGCATCTAGGTTGCTTCCATGTCCTGGCTATTATAAACAGTGCTGCGATGAACATTGGGGTGCACGTGTCTCTTTCAGATCTGGTTTCCTCGGTGTGTATGCCCAGAAGTGGGACTGCTGGGTCATATGGCAGTTCTATTTCCAGATTTTTAAGAAATCTCCACACTGTTTTCCATAGTGGCTGTACTAGTTTGCATTCCCACCAACAGTGTAAGAGGGTTCCCTTTTCTCCACACCCTCTCCAGCATTTATTGCTTGTAGACTTTTGGATAGCAGCCATCCTGACTGGCGTGTAATGGTACCTCATTGTGGAGACCCAGAGGGATAGGGCGGAGAGGGAGGTGGGAAGGGGGACCGGGATGGGGAATACATGTAAATCCATGGCTAATTCATTTCAATGTATGACAAAAACCACTGCAATGATGTAAAGTAATTAGCCTCCAACTAATAAAAATAAATGGAAAAAAAAATTAAAAAAAAAAATAAAATGGGAAGGGAAAAAAAAAAAAAACAGACAGGAGGATTAGTGGCCTCGCTAAAGCTGTACCTGTGGGTCAGACCCCACACGAAGTCATCTCAGCGCATTCCAGCAGCGATCTCCAGGAAAACACTAACATACACAGAACGGTCAGAGCAGGGTGGCTGCGGCCATCAAAGGTCCCAGAGGCGGAAGCCTTATCCTGCTTAGACCTGTGACTGTGGCCGTGATAACGCCCCAGAGCAAAGAGCACTCACCTTTTCACCTTTTGGCCCTTGAAAGCTCAAGCCCATTTGCCCCTGTTGATGAAAAGACAGGCTTCCGTTATTAGCACTGTCTACTTGGTTCAAAATCATCTAACAAATATGACATGAAATGCAACAAGATCGTACGTTTAAAGCAATAGCTTCGTCCCATAAAGACATAATATTGATATGTTCAAGAAAGCTGTGATCATGTTGTATTCAATGTCTATTAAAAGCTTTTCTAAAGTATTACTGAAAAAGAACCCCATAGAAACCATTTTTAAAAATTGAAGATTTTTAAATTCTGGCTTTAGAAAACTAAGGAAAAGATGAAGATTCCATGACTGACAGATGGATAGGAGGAAAGATCAATAGATCAATAATTGACAGATCAATAGATGAGTGGATTCGTTGACAGAGAAGTTAGACAGATTGATGGATTGATGGATAGCTGAACACACATGTTAAATGTAGAGATAGATATAAAACTTATAATTTCCCAAAACACTTTACAGAGATGTAGAGAATGAGTTACAGCAATGGCACGACAGCCTCACACTAACACCAAAGAAAGACAAATGGAAAACAATCTTTACCTTTTCACCTGGAGGGCCAGGAGGGCCTGGAGGACCCTGGAAGACAGAGCATTTTAATTAAACGTGCTTCACAACCCTGGCGTGCTTTTTTGCACCAAAGTTATCTTCAGATGCCACGGTTAATGTGACAGCTTGTTAGCTGTCACATGTTTTTCCTGTGCCACAGAACTGCTAACCTTTGGGAGCAACCAGAAATTAGTCCAAGATAATTACTAACAGGGATGCAAACCTCTCAAAATCCCAAGGGCTCCCTGTGGAACCCACAGATCTGAGCATGCACTGGGCAATCAGACCGTGGATGAACCCACCACCAAATTCCCAGCAAAACTTAGTGAGTCCAATGTGGAAACCATGTTGGTCCCCTTTGGAAACTGTGGTTGACCTTCAAAAGCTCAGTGAATTCTTCAAGCGGGTAGACTGTATGAAGTCCCAAACCTTCCCGCGTTTGCAACAGAACTTCAGAAGCCTTTTCATAATCATGAAAAAGGAAAAGCTAGTCATTCTTTCCTCCCGAAATCGAGTCCGTTTATTTACAAGAACATAAAAGACATTACATCTGCAAGAATGGATAGAATAATTGCCACATCTGACCCCTAAAGAAGGAGCCAATTTAAAAGAGAAGCCTGAAGCATCTCTCCAGGACTCTCAGGCAGGCTCAGGTGAGGATGGCGTTCTCACATCACCCATTCCTAGTGGAATTCCTAGTGCTCATTCCTAGTGAGCACTTGGGAGGGGCACTCCCAAGTAAGCGCCGTTACCATGACCTCTCTCTCGCTCCCAGACCGTGTGAGTAGGGGGAGCTGATGCCGCCCTCCTGTCGAGAATCAGCAGCAGCGAAGCAGGCTGAGAGCAGAGCAGAGCCTCCTGGAGGCTCAGCTTCCAGTCCCCACCACGGACAGAGCGCAGCTTCTTCACAGCCCCCAGGAGAGCAGGTTCCTGGATGGGGCTGTGTTCCCACGAGCGAAGGTGCAGGGCGGAGCCTGCTCGTCCGTCTCTGCATCCCCCACTCACGGGACGCACCGGCATCCTCGCAGCCCCACAGGTGATTCACGTGTCGCCCGGGGGGTGTCTCGGCCTGTGACATGTGACATCTCTTTATAACCCTTTCCCCACGGCTCTGGGGGCGTGTGGACCATAAACACCAATAACACCCCCTTAAGACAGAAGCTCAAAGAGAAACTGGTGAGAGCCCACTGCAGTGCGCTGAGCTCCACTCAGCACTCTAACGACCTGCGTAGGAAGACTCTAAAAACAAGGGGGTGCGTGTACAACTGATTCTCTCTGCTGCATGTGATGTGCTGAAACCAGCACATCACTGTAAGTCAACCACACTCCACTAAATAGAGAGCAACAACATTCTGTAAAGCAGTTATCCTTCAATTTTAAAAATAGGTAAATTTTTTAAAAAATAGAAACTCATTCTTGAATCCGAATTGAAAGGGCTCACCATTGTATAAAGTTTTCTTGTCCAGCTTTTAATTTTATCTTGGAGCACGGCCAATTAGCAACATTGTGAGAGTTTCCAGTGGACAGCAAAGGGACTCAGTCGTACATATACATGGTGTCCCCTCTGCCCCAAGCTCCCTCCCATCCAGGCCAAAGCGTTCATTCCATTTTATGAGTCTTCACACCTCCACACGGCTGTTCTCTGAATGACAGCCTCAGAGACAGACTCCCCGCCCCCAGACTTACTGGTGGCCCAGTGAATCCCGGGGGGCCGACGGGGCCTTGCAGTCCTGGCAGACCTGGTGAGCCCTGTAAATCACCGAGAAAGGCAGGAATTAAGACGCAACCCAGGCGGAGACTCAGCTGGTGCTTGGAATCATTCAGCCGGTACTCACAGGTGCTCCCGGCTGTCCAGGAAAGCCTCTTTCGCCTACCAGCAGGGTCCCTGGTATATAGCCCAGGATCTCACCTGGATCTCCCTAGGGGATGGAAGACAAGCGAGTCACAAACACTGATGTTTATGGAAAGATACTGAATACCCGTGGAGGAGGGGGCACGCACCACTGCTGTGGGACCAGCCCAGGTCTGAGGTTCAGCCTCCGCCCATGCTGGGGATAAACCGACTGGCCGGCTCCCCTGGTCACTCATCTCCATGACCAGCATGAGGACAGAGCGTGTGGACCACTGAACGGAAGGATGTGGGGTGCTCCCCGTAACAGGCCCCGGGCAGGAGGGGGCCTAGACAGGGGCCCAGCGCTGGTGGAAAGGCTGTGCCCACCGGCCACTCTCGCAATAGAAGGGTCATCTTTCCGGACAAGACCCAGCGTGGCCACGTTCAGAAAAGCAGGGAAATGCGTTTTAGTGTCAACGCAGCCTGGCCCCAGCGCCCAAAGACTCGGGCAAACAGCAGGCTGAGGTCGACGGGGAGGTCCTTTTCAGACAAGGTAGACATTTACATCCACAGGTGTGAAGGACTAAAGTAATAAAGCAGATAACCTTCCACGCTGGAGGAGGAGGGGCTGGGGGCCACCCACCCCAGGGGTTGAGACCTTAAGAGGAAGAAAGACTGACTCCCAGGAAGAAGGGAGACTGCCTCCAAAACCAGACCCATGCTCTTCCCTGGGTCTCCAGCCTGCATCCCTGCCATTCAGACTGTGGACTTGCGACCCTCAGCCACGCACCTCCCCAGAATAAGGAACCTACTTTATCTCAACATATTGCAATTATATATCAAAATACATAGAACTAGATTAATATGTAATCTAAATATTAGAATAATAAGTAAATATTAGGGGACAATGTACACTGTACTATGTATTACACAATATATAAAACATTTTACAATATCATACATGTATTTTAATTCTCCCTCCCTCCCTCCATCCATCCTCATATGCGTCTGCTGTATACATATGGTGCACACACATTGCACAAGCATCCCCTCACACACCCCACTGGCTGTGTTTCTCTGAGGCGACCTGCTCACAGCACCACCCAGGGCTCTGGACAAGGAGCTTCAGGGACCCACGTCTGTTACATCTCCCCCTCACACTATGCTTCCCATCACCGCTTATTTCCTATGAAGAAATGGACCTGGTGTTGAAGATTTAGACTCTAAAATTTAAGTCTGTGTGCAGGACTTCAGTACTCTTTTAATGGAGCAGAGTTTAGGCAAACAGGTTAACAGGCAACCGGTCAACCAAAGTGATTTAAAGTAAGTTTATTTTTTGTGGCATCTATTTTACACATACGCCTGGAATGAATCCAATAAAATAAAACAACGTACCTTCATTCCCGGTAACCCTGGTGGTCCCTAGAAAAGAAAACGGTGGCATTAGTTTTGTTTTCCTCAAAAGAACCTTAACATTAAGATATGGGCAGGGGGAAGGAAAGCGAAAGGCAATTGAATGAGAAGAGAGGAGTGATTACACCCTTATCAAACAACCCAATACTCACGGGATTTCCGGCAAATCCAGGCAAACCGGGAGGTCCCACAGGCCCTCTCTCACCCTGGGGACAGAGAAAGTCACTCTCAAGGGCCGCCAGGGCGACAGGACGTCATCCCAGAGGCCCCATCAGTTTCCCCGTCCTGCCCTTCAGGGACGCTACGTGTGCTGTTGGAAGCCATTGTCTAAAAATTGCTATGAGCTGCATTGCACAGTGCTGCCTCGTGTTGGAAGAAATATATTTGAGAACACACTTAACAGGGACAAGAATTAACACTAGCATGTTCTTATTTGCTTTGGTAATAGACTAGAGGTGAGATTTCCTGGTGAAAGCAACTTTAGAATAAAAGTCTACAAAATAGAATGGCTTAATGAGGTCTTTCCTGAACACTACATGTGGGAAAACTGTTTCCTTACCAAAGAAAGATGTAACACAAGTCACTTCCCAACCGTGGCAACTAAACCTGCATTCACAGGACAACTCTGCCCAACTGCCCCACGTGCAAAGTTAGATAAACGTGCACCCCACCGGGAGGGCCCAGCTCTAAATTTACCTTTGTTCCGTTGCATCCTGGAATACCTGGGGGACCCGGAGGGCCATCCTGGCCAGGAATACCCTGCAATTAACAAAATGAACAAGTAGACAAGTTAGGAAATCATCGGTGCTACTGTAACACACACCAAACATCTCATAAAGGAACCAGAAGCCTTTTGTATACATACAGGAAGTCCTGGGTTTCCAGGGTAACCAGGCACTCCCAAGGGTCCCTGTAGGGATGGAAATGAAAAGGTTTTCATTGGGTGCAAGAGAACCCCATTTTCTCCCACCGCACCCTCCTGGATAAGGATGTCAGACCCTCACTGCTGGCATTTGGAACATCGACCCTGAGCAGACAGACAGGTGTCCAAGGACACAGGTGGGCTGGAGATGACCTGGAGTTTCAGTAGCAGCTCTTCGTCATCAAACCTTGGTGATTAATTACTCCTAAAATCAAGGCTGCACACCCACAAGATAACTCTGCCCTCGTTTCATTCTTTGTAATTTCTAGGAGATGAAAGATAGATTGTACAGACAGAGAGATGGGTGGGTGGATAGACAGGCAGATAGAGAGAGAGAGAATTTACAGCAAAATCTCAGACAGTTGGGAAAAAGTGGGTAAGCATAAATCAGTTCCCTGAGGGAAGAAAGTCAGAGCTCTTCCTAGCTGAAATCCAGATCTTCACTGCAGACAGTTACAATGTTATCCGCTCTCTTCTGCCCCAAGGAGGATCCAGCAAGGCTGGGCACACTTCCCCTTCCACGAAGTAACAATAACACAATTAAGATGTTTACATTTTACAGCATCTTCCTATTTTTCAAAGATTTTTCAAAGAGCTCCCTGCTCGCACATCCCAGGAGCAGGCATAGCAAAGACAGCAGAGCGTGAAGGAAGACGGAGCATGGATCTGAACACGTCCCCGCTTTCCACGCTGACCGAAGGCATCTTTGATGAAGACCTGGAGACGGGTCATCCCCGCCCCCAGTGAAATCCACCCACGGGAACCCCTGAGGAAGGAGCGCGGGGAGAAGCCAGGTGTCGAAAGGACAGGAAGTGAGCCCGTCGAGGGGCAGGCCTGGAGGAGGGGGACGCGGACCCGTCACCCTAGGGCCCGGCTCCCAGGGCAACCGCTGTCCGCGCCGAGGACAGAGGCGGACGGAGGGACCCAGAGCAGGGGGGACGGGAGAGACGCCCCCGGAAGGTCTGGAGGCGGGCGGGGCGAGGGGTCCCGCCCCCTCCCCCGGAAGCATCGCTGTATCAGAGCCCGCCCACAGGCGTGACCGACCCAGCGGCCCCTGAACTCACTCTCGTCCCTTTAGTGCCTGGCAGTCCGGGCTCGCCGGTGTCACCCTGGAAGGAACAGAACCAACACGATGACCCAGACGATCTCAGGCCCACCCTCCAGCCCCCGCGCCCGTGACGGCCAAGCTCACCTTTTGTCCTGGTGGTCCCTGCGGCCCCTCGGGTCCTTGCATTCCGGGAAACCCGATGACCCCTTGTAACCCCGGGAGGCCTCTTTCTCCCTGTGGAGGAGGAGGGAGCCAGTGAGATGGAGGGCGGGTCGGAGGAAGCAGAGGAAAGAGCAGAAATGGGCCTCGGTCAGCATCACCCCGCATCCCGCCCGCCAGAGCGTCTGAGAAAAGATGCTGCCGGCTGCGACCCACGTCGGACACGTCTCTGCTGTCTTTAAGCTCCTTTGAGGGCAGGAATGGCCACAGATGACCCCTGGCCCAACGCTTTCTATATACTATACTCCAAATGCTAAGTAACTTGTTGGGCAAATAAAACAACGGAGAGTTGGGTTTTTGTTTTTTCACTAAATTGTTTATAACCTCCTTTGATGAGTGACGCTGTGTTGACAGACACAGCACTTAGATTCTGAGAGGAAACTCCGTCAAGGCTTCCCTTCAGGGCTGTGGAGGCAAAGCTCAGGGTCGGAGTTTCAGCATCAGATGCCGAGACTTCTCTGTGCCATCAACAGTCTGATGACGGGCCTCCCTGAGCCTCTCTTAAAAAACTGGCTTTGTGCAAAGGTAGAATCAAGGTTGAATTACAGTCTCTGCCCACATGGAAAAAAAAGAAATTCAACCTATTTTTTTTAATAATGAATTCTATTTGGTGCACACACGTGGCTGCGATTCAGAAAGACTGGGATGTTGGGCCTTGATGTGGCCCTTGAAAGATGAAAACAAAATTAATGCATGAAGAGATGGAAGAAGGTAATTCAGGCAGGACGGAACTAACAGGAAGAAATACAAGCGGGACAAGGATGTGGAGAAAGGAGGTTCTACCGTTGGATCCTGGGAATGTGGTTTCCTGTACAGGCATCAACAACGCAGTGGCCTAATCAAGGATATTTGCAGAAAACAGCCACACTTAGACTGTCCATGGGAAATAGCCCAAAATGGGGACAAGAATCCAAGAAAACCTATTTTCTTCACAGGATATGGACTTTTTCATACCCAGGTGGCACAGTGGTAAAGAATCTATTTCCCAATGCAGGAGACATGAGTTCGATCCCTGGGTCGGGAAGATCCCCTGGAGAAGGGAAAGGCAACCCACTCCAGTATTCTTGCCTGGAGAATCTCACAGACAGAGGAGCCTGGTGGGCTCCAGTCCATGGGGTCGCAAAGAGTCAGACATGACAGCGATTGAGCATGCATATGGACTTCAATGCAAACTCATGATCAAATTGAGTAAGCATCTTTAGCCAGTTTTTAAAAATAGAAGGCACGTCAGAGATTATAGACAGGATTCCTTACTTCTCCCATAGTTATGTTACTTCAAAGGGGAAAAAAAAAACTGACAAGCCATACAGAACAAACATTTGTGCACATGCTGAGTCACTTCAGTCGAGTCTGACTCTTTGTGACCCCATGGACTGTAGCCCGCCAGGCTCCTTTGGGATTCTCCAGGCAAGAATCCTGGAGGGGGCTGCCATGCCCTCCTCCAGGGGATCTTTCCCACCCAGGGATGCAACCCGCATCTCTTATGCCTCCTGCATGAGCAGAAGGGTTCTTTACTACTAGCGCCACCTGGGAAGCCACCTGCGGGTAAACAAACATTCACCCTCCCCAAATAGCACATTACCAAGATCCACTTGAAGATTTCCAATGTTGCATAAATGAAAGAACGCAGAACAGAAACTCCCAAAGTCATCCTTCTTTCCAAACCGCTCAGAACTTGCAAGTCCCAGAACTTGCAGGTGAATTATGTGCCTGTGCATTTTTAAAAACATGTTCATGATTACTTCTGGCTGCACGGAGCCTCCGCCGCTGCGCACGCAGGCTCTCTCCAGCTGCGGCGAGCGGGGGCTGCTCCCCAGCTGTGCAGCCCGGGGCTCTGACTGCGGCGGCTTCTCCTGCGGCAGAGGGCGGGCTCTAGAGTGCCTGGGCTTCAGCATGGCAGTGTGCTTGGCTGCCCCACGGCATGCGGGCTGTTCTGCACCAGGGATCGCACCCGCGTCCCCTGCACTGGCAGGCAGATTCTTAGCCACTAGACCACCAGGGAAGTCCCAGCATTTTTCTGAAAAGTAGAAATGTGGTTCTGAACAGAAGTCTCCATCCACTGGGTCTCCACGGATTGTGGGTGTCGTCGGCAGGAGGCTGGAAACAGTGTGTGAATAAATGGGGAAGAAGCCCGTGATTTCTAACTCCAGAGGATCCCATCAAACAGGACTAAGCGGGGGAGAGAAAGCCAAGCTCTGCAGTTTGGTGCAGCCGCCTAAAGCAGCTGCATCCGGGGACCAACCAGGAAAAGCAGATGCAAACACACCGGGCCCTGCAGAGGTCTGGACCCAGCGCCGGCTCGGCCTCCCTGGGAAAGGAAAACATCCTCAGGCCAAGACGTGTCCAAGGGTAAAGCCCCTTAAAGGCACTCGCTCTTCACCCAAAACGACAGCAGATGCGAACACCCAAATTCCCGGAGCTGGAGATGGACGGCACGCTGACATTGGATCAACCTCCTCCCTAGATTCAGATATGGGAAGATTCGGCCCCAGATAGAACTGAACTCCAAACAGCTGGCTAAAAAGTAAACGAACATTGAATGGAGTGTCCTCAGATAGCCTGGCATGTGATGGGAAGGAGATGTCAAAGGCACGTCGGCAGAAAAGCTTCCTAACGTGCGGGGTGGCATATTTTTAGTACTCGGTTAACACTGGCAGCATCACCAGGAGGCCCAGCACAGATAAGATTTTATAATTCTCGTTTTCATCGTGGAAGGCCTGGAGGCCCGGCGCCAGATTAGCTGATTCCTACAAGTTTCTCACTGAGTCAGCACCAAAGCCAAAAATAGAAATGAGGTCAGCCTCTACCTCGGTCCCTGTTTTTTCTAGGTCACTAGAGCAAGCTGGTTCCCAGCAAATATTAAATAGCTCGCCCACAGCAAGTCAGCCCCTTTTATGTCCATTTCACAGATAAGGAAATTAGGACCCGATGTTTTACTGACGTGTCACATGTCACTGGCTGACCCCTGTGTACTGCTGGGAACAGAATTCAGAAATCTGAATTCCCAAGTCCTGGCCTTCAGCGCAGAACGCATTCTTTCCCAAATGTCACCGGAACACTTGAGCAAGCCCCAGATCCCAGGAGTTTTGGAGTTAAGTAGCTAAAGAGGAAGTGACTCCTCCGCGGACACGGCTCTTGCCATCTCGCACATACATTTTTTTTTTTTTAAGTTTCCTAATCTTTTGTTCAGACACAAATAATCTAGTATCCCGCAGGTTATCCTGGGCACCAGAGCAGGGCAAACAGGCAGGATAAGAATTTGAACGATTATACAATTATACAATTAGCTGGGACACAGCACACGCTGCAGGCCGACCCAACTCTTCCTCCAAGCTTTCAGCAAGTCTCCATGAGGGTCACAGGGAAAGCAGAGAGCTGGGCAGCTGAGGCAAAGCTTCTTCCTGCCAGTCAGTCCTTTCGAAGCCAGACTCGGCAGCGGTGAGCCGTCTTGCGCTGGGGCTCAAGGCTGAATGTGCACAGTAAAAATGAGCAAGAGGCAGGACCCCTCAGTCATCTCCTTCCCGTGATGTGCTGGAGGCAGGGACCGAGAAGACCTGGGGGCCCATATGGGCCCCACTGTCACGGTTACCATGGCAGTGAGAACTCAGAGTGGAGGACGAGATGGAGAAGCGTGTACCATCCTACGCAAAACAATCTGAGACAACGGCCTTCAACAGCTTTACTCCTGAACATCAGGGCAGTCTACCACACTAATTTAAAAAACCTTGTACACCAATCATGGAAGTGACTATCATTCTATCTTCAAATGAGGAAGTTCAGAATTTAAGAAGAAAAAAATAGCATGCTATAAATAAGAAAGAATACAGCCATGGAGAATGATCTTGGTATCAAAATTAGCCATTCTAAATCAGGCATGAAATACAGTTTCATGCATGGAACAACTTACAAGTTTTGTATCATACATTATCTACAGAAGGAGAGAACAACAGAAAGAGATTTTTTAAAAATCCATAAAACATGGGAATAGAAGAGTTTTTTAAAAATAATATCCAATTATTTCCCTTCCTCCTAAAATACCTACAAAGTTCATGATTGAAATCCAATACTAGAATACATTATCCCCTTCAAATCTCAGTCAAACCTCCAAATACTAATAAAGCCCCCAGGATGGCGAGGCTGAAAAAGTGTGGTGGTTCTAAGGATAACATAGAAAACATCATCATCAATAACAAAAAAAAGCTGAAATTAACAGGAAACATATCAGAATAAGCCGTCTTCAATCATCTGACACTCAGAGGCCCCATTACGCTTGTTTCAACAGCCAACATGGGGTCACTGTCTTTGAGCCGGACTTTGAATCATTTCCTCAGTTTTAAAATGATACATTCATGGATGGTCACCATGGACTGACGGCCAAGGAAAAGTCCTGCCTGAGCCCTGGGCCCCCTCTCGGCCGGGGACCGATCGTGAGGGGCAGAACCGTCTGCACGCACTTGTTCACCCATCAGAAAGCCAAACACAGCCAGCAAAGGGTGCTGCCTGAGAGGTCCCGCAGTGGGCGTTCATCTCTCGGAAGTTAAGCACTTCACAGGCAGAGGTATTTCTCATTCATTCAGCGTTTGGCACAGACTTTGAAAGTTGGTGCATGGATGGCGAACTAACCAGCAGAATCACATAAACTTACGATGAGGGAGGACTTTATCTTCATAGCCTGAGAGCTTTAAAAGAAAGTAAAACGGTTGCTGGGCAGGACGGAGCCCCTGGCCTCCCTTGCCCAATTTAAAGCCCCACGGGCACCATGGAGCCTGGAACCGCCAGCCAAAGAGGAAACAGGAGGAGAGAGCCGTGGGTGGGACGGGACACTGAGTCAGCTCTTTGGGGCCTTGAGATTTCAACGTCCAAGCAAGGCTGCGAATAATTGAGGGAACGAAAGTATGTGCGTTTGGAGCCAGCACTCACCAAACGCTCAGTGCTGGGGAAGTGATTTTGGACCACGGGTCACAGTCAAGGGGGGACTTCAGGGCTGAGCCAAAAATTCCACCAGCCTGACTCCT